TAATGGCAGAAGAGGGCGAAACAAAATGGCAACAAATGGGTTTTTGCGTGATTAATGGCAGCAGAGGGGCGACAATACAAAATGGCAACAATTGCCTTATATGTGATTAATGGCAGCAGTGGGGCAAAAACAAAAAATGGCAACAATTGCCTTATATGTGATTAATGTTTAATATGTTTTTTGGTAAAGGTGTAGAAGAGGGTGACCACCAGAAGGAATTGTCTGAAATGGTTTAAATTTTTTCTACTCACTAATATCATGATATTACACAAAAATGGAAACGACAATGCATAGAACCTGACTTAACATACCCAACCTATGGGTATTTTTGGTCAGGTTCTATTAGGCTTTATGCATTATCTTGTTAATTTATGTTAAACAACTGATCTTAATATTGAAGTTGATATACATCAGCAATGTCGAGGAGGAATACGTGGAAGCGTTCACCATCATTTATAGGAAACGTCTCTTGAAGAGGGATTCAGCGAGGTAAACAACAAAAGTGGCGGCTGGAGTCATCTAACCGAACAAAACCTACCCTAACCCCTAGCCGGAGGCTCTGCCCCTGGACCCACAGTAGGCCCAGCTCAAACTGACCTAAAAGTTTCAGTAATTTAAAACTTTAGGGCGTGCCATGTCCAAAGTACAATACCTTAGATAGAAGTGGAAGAACCAGGATTACGTAAGAATTGGATAGGATGATCATCTTTCTCGTAAAACTCGGTAACAAACTTAAAATAATCGTAAGAACACAAATGACAACCAACCTCCACCACGGCCATTGTGAGACTGGGCAATTAAATTAAAATCGTACCCAGGCTGTTTCCTTCAAAAAAAATCAAATGTGATTAGTCGAAAAAAAATTGCTTGATAATATCAATACTTCATTGGTCAATACTGGGTGATGTCAGTCAATATTGCGCATGCTTGATGTGCCGTTAACATCTCAGAGACAAAGACTGAAAACTACGTAAAATCAATTAAATTCAACTGTGTCGCTATTATCCATTTCCGCCTGATATATATATGGGGTTCAAAATGCTCAGAATAGGGAGATCTAAATGTTTCAGTAGCTTATAACTTTCGGGTGCGCTATTTCCTAAAGTAAAGTACTGGGGCCGGATACTCAAAAAAATTTATGGGACTGTATGTCGTTGCGTACCCGTAACTGGACTCACAGTCTCAGATTGGCATACTCAAGACACAGATGGTATACTCAAACATCGAACTCCGTAAGTTACCACAAGTAACTTACACCAGCTCCCGAGGTTGTGTAACACTCAACCCGGATGTAGTAGTGACTAATTCCAGATTGTATAGAAAATAATAATAATATATGTTGTAATAATGCTTGTTAGTCTTGTTTTATCATAGAATAATGAAGAAAATGTTTTGTACATCAACATACTGAAATATAATATTTCACTTTGTCTTTTTCGTAACTTTTTTGTTGTATAATAAGCGCAGAGTTGCCAACTTAGCGACTTTGTAGCTAGATCTAGAGCTTTTTGTTTTTTCTAGCGACATTTTAGAGCGGTTTGCGACTTGTCTCAAATCTAGAGATATCCACAGAAATCTAGCGACTTTCTGGATACTTTTGGACTGTCCATGAAAACTCAGTTTTCCTAATTTCGAGCCATAATATATAGCAACGGGGTTACAGGGACAATAAATAATAAGAAAAGTTTAATACATTTGAACGGGTTGTGGTACAGAAGGAGGGACACGTCTATTTCCTGATCACTTGATGTCAGTCCGTCCATGCATCTAACACCCTAAAATTGTGGTCAGAAGTGGCAAATTACAGAGATGCGACCGGTGAAAACCCTTACCATGATCTGGCTGAAATTGCACTCGCTGCCTTATCTCTTCCTCATTGAAACGCAGATGTAGATCGCACATTTAGTAGTATGAACTTTGTGAAATCAAAATTGCGCAACAAAATGAAACTATCGACATTAAAGGCAATTCTTACAATAAAGTATGGGTTAAAAAGACAGAACACCTGTTGTGCAAGTTATGAACTTCCTAGTGATATTTTAAGAAAGATAGGAACTGTGGAGGCATACAGTTACAAGAGAACCTGAACCAAGCACTTCACATGCTTCCAGCTCTACAGTTGTTCACACTACCAAGAGGACTGGGATGCAATTACTATTGAATAATAGGTAAGTGTGCACATTAAACTTTAAAAAAATAATAGTTTTATTTTTACATAATGCATTTTATTTATACTCCGTCCATTATAGTCGGCATTATGAAAATATTATTTGCATCAAATTACTGAAGGGGAGAATAATAGCTAGCGACTTTCCATGGAAGATTTAGCGACATTTTGCTACTTTTAGGTACCAGCCTAGCGACATTTGAAGACCCGCGTTGGCAACCCTGAATAAGAGGCTTGAGTGTTTGTGTTTGTCTCAGTGTGGAAGAGACGCATCTTTTGTCTTCTTACACATTATAAACTATTTCTTACCAAAACAGAAGGTTTGTATTGTTCACACTTAGGGTAAAAATATGTTTTATGACTGAGTAAACTTGCAGATAGAACTTATTAATGTTGTGTAGCCGTAAATATCCCTCAGTAATGAAAGCCAAATATGAGGTCAAGTGAACATTCCTGCCAAGACTTCGCCTTGTTTTTCTAATATTCAACCAATAGCCTTAGCCTATTTTCTTATGTATATGGCTTATGATAACATGAAAGGCTATAAATTTCCATAGGCTAGCCAAAATTAAATGATATTAGGTGTAAAATATGGATTGCAATTAACTTGATTAATATGTGCCTATATAACTGCTTTTTCAGTCTTAGGCAAATAAATGTTTAAACATGGGGCCTACTTAATTTAGTTAGAACATGAGGATTATTTAAATAAGAAATTATACTAATAGGGTATAGGTTAGATAGGTTTGGTTTGGTTATGTTATGTATGTTAGGTTAGAGAATGTGTACATGGTTTTTTTGGTGAGTGTCTGGCTGTCAGTGAGACACTTAGTCTAGCAGCTACCTTAGGCCTAGTTCCAGACTTTCCTTGAACATTATCATAGGTAGAGTATTAATTTAAGAAAATTTACGGCTAATACGATATATTTTCAGGTTTTAAATTGTTGTTTTTTGTATGAACTTGAAGACAATTCAGACCAAATGTTCCCAACATTGAAAGGAAAACACTAGGGTCTAGGCTAAATGAGTAATTTAAGAGAAGTGATTTGTCATTTAGGTTAGGCAAGGCTATACTATCATTAACCAATTAATTTGAATTTGCCCAGAATAAGGCTATCTTAGTATAGCTTATGTGTCTTGTCACAGGCCAACATTATGCAAGGGATTATTTACCTAAATTCTAGTGGGGTAAAACACCAAATACTGTGAGATCTCTGTTAGCCAGAACAATTGGTGAAGAGCACTACCGTGAATGAATGAGTGTTTTCCCGTTAACGAGACAATTATCACAAATCAAGAAAATATCCCTCATCCCCAGAATGTTTATGGTAATGGAAAAATTTTCTCGGTAGTTCCTGCAATTGCCCATTACATCATCTCTCGAACCCAGAAATATATCCCCCATCTCACTAAAATTAGGTCGTCTCTTCTTGGCTGGTGGTCCTTCCATGTTTACAAAATAATATTACGTGCGTCGCTGTCAGCTGATTTCTCCTTCTCTTGTGATTGGTTGATGATTTTGTTAACTGAGCGTTGATTGGCCAACTAGCATCTGCACTGACATCTACCGTCCGACAAGAGAACTTAATTTACAGGGTAAACACTAGAGTTACGAGAACTTACGGAAGGCTTACGGAACCATAATTAAATTTTGAGTTTGCTAAATTTATGGTAGTGTAAGGCTTCCACAATATATGGTACTGTATCATGCTAAAAAAACGTAACTTATGAGGTGTTTTGAGTATCCAGCCCCTGTACAAGTAATACCCAAAATTCTAAAGCTACATCCTCTTTCCTGTTAAAACTGGCCAGCAAGTCAAAATAACAGAAATCACACCCGTTACACGAAGCAGCCATACTGCAACTGAAAATCTTCGATAGTGAATGATGGGTGATTAAAAAAAACGAATTTGATTGGCTGGAAATGAAGCGGGTGGTATAAATTCTGAAATGGCTAATTGTGATTGGTCGAGGGCGGAGCTGTCCGGCACATGCACAACTGGATTTCTGAAGATGTCGGGGGGGTCACCCAATAATGGTGTTATGTCAAGGTTAATTACCTAACCAAAACTTTCAAGCGCCATATCTTTTTTATTATGCACTTGACGGAAATATCATATTAGAAAATTGTGATAGAATTTTCTGTAGATTTCACAAATGTTGCCAGATTTATCAGAAAGAATTATAGGACTAAAGTTAACAAATACCATAAGCTCACATGGTGCAGTAAGGAGAAAAGGTAAAATTGCAGATTACAGTATCTGAAGAAACGTTACCTAACCCCCTAGCTGCCCCCCAGAACCCCAGTGGCACTTATTATAAATTTGTGACAGAAATGTAATATAAGAAAATGATCATAGAAAAAATAGTTCTATCAATTAAGAGAACAGTAGTGAATTAACGTTATTCTGTGGTTGCTGTAAGCTGCAATATTACCGGATGAAGTTAATAGTGGAGGTGACGGTTTGTGGTTAACCCTTAAGCCTGGGGTTAGGGTGCTACTGGCAGTACCCCCCCCCCCCTCGCGGGGATAAATCGAGAAAAAAAAATCAAGTTTTCCGCCAAAAATACTTTGATGGATTAAATGTAATGATTTATACTGTATGACTGGAAGTACAGTATAAAGTGGTGCTGTATATGTAAAGGTTCCTTACAAGTAACAGTGATCACTACATCATTATTATATTTGGCTTATGAGAACATAGCATGGCACTTAAATTACAGTAATTTGTTTGGAGTGATTTACCCCATATATTTTATATACTGTACATCACTGCCAGAACATCCATGTCATAATAGTTAACTAATGCTCTGTCCTTCCTCTACACTCCAGACAGTCACGAGGATTGAGTCAAACTACATTGTCGTTTATCTCGGCAACAAATAAACGTGTCGGTAGCTGCCCCAGGCTGAGACAAGTCACTAATGTCCATCGTCTCTCTTGTACAGTAGAAGGTAAGAGGTTTGTTATCTGTTTAATTATGGAGTTTAGGGAGACTTTAAAATATCATTCAAGTATATATTCCATAACAAGAACTTTACAACACTTCCTTAACCTGTGGAGTACAGTATGATGAATTAACCAATTGAGTTTAGTATGAGGACAACAATATCCCATTGAATAAGTATAGCTTTAGCATGATGACTTAAATTATTGAGTAAGATAAATTGGTCCATTGAATAAGATAACCAGAATATGATGACTTAGCCTTTTAAGTGTCATGACTACCTTTTCATCTCCTTGAGTATGATTGATGACCTAATGCCTTGACTATTTGTAATCAGACAAATAGTGTTAAGTCTTTGCACTGAAGTGTCCCCTTGCCAAGCACTGATGATACTTTAAACAGTGTGATTTGTGAGTGATGATGAAGGTTATTTGAGAGGAATAACACTGTGAGGCAGGAGTTATACACAGTTCTAGTCCAGGGTATAAGTGAGTTGTGGTAGGCAAGATGGCCCTGTTGGTCTAGTGAGAGTGAGTGGTGGTGGCACTATTGAGTAAACACTGACTTTAGAATAGGGAAACAAATGAGATATCCCCACAATTGTGCAATGCTGGAAATTTTCTGCCAAGTCCATTGTTGTTGATTGTTATGGTGTTTCTTTCTACATTGAATTACAGAAGTGAATTGCCCCAACACTACACCCAGCCCTCAGTTGATGACAGTACTGTACACCATCTGGGAGCACAGATAGCATACATAAATGTTTGACAGCTGTTCAGCGGTAAAGGTTTAGCTAAATATATTAAGAAGTTTTTCGTGGTAAAACTTGAAGCTAGGGTGATGCCAAAGTCTCACTGCTGTGTGATAATTTATAATGGTGGTGTCAAGATTTGTGTAGTATTATACCAGTTGTTAAACATAATTTAGTATGACATGAAGGAAACCAGGTTGGATCCACCCCAGTAAGTTAAGTCTTCCTGTAGAGTTGAGGAGGTCTGTTGTCTGCCATTAAAATTTGTATCACATGAGACTGAGGAAGTGAGAGTGAAGGGCTGAGTCATCTGTACAGAATTTTTTGTCCACAGTCATTGTGCTGACTCAATAGTGCCACCACCAAGCACCCTGTGAGGACCATGTATTGTGTACTAGCACTCTGTGCAACTCCCTACCTCAGTGTTTTTCTTCTGTGGTATAACCTCAATCACTTCAGCCTTCAGGAAGAGGATGCCTTGGTGAATAGATTTGACAGTGATACTTGTCTCATCTCTCTCTTTGTTTGTTAAAAGTAACAAATGTACAGTAGTGTACTTGTGGTGGGAATATTATCTAAGGTTAAACTTCATGTTTCAGACATTGTGACGCCACATCTCGGGACCAAATGTGATGCTGTGTACACAATGTCCAGTGGGAAAACAACATACTCCTGTGAGGAATGTGGCAAGTCATTTGGCTGGAAGAGTTCTCTTGAAAGACACATAATTGTACACAGTGGTGTTAAAAACTTTAAATGTGATGAATGTGGGAAATATTTTTCAGAAAATAGGCATCTCAAGAACCATATTTTTTTTGTGCACAGTGGTGTTAAAAACTTTAAATGTGATAAATGTGGGAAATATTTTTCACAAAACAGTTATCTCAGGAACCATGTTCTTGCTGTTCACTGTGGTATTAAAAACTTTAAATGTGATATATGTGGAAAACATTTTTTTGAAAAGAGTGCTCTCAGGAAACATATTCTTACTGTTCACTGTGATATAAAAAACTTTAAATGTGATGAATGTGGGAAACATTTTTCAGAGAAGGGTTCTCTCAAGAGACATATTCTTGTCCTTCACTGTGGTGTTAAAAACTTTAAATGTGATGAATGTGGGAAATATTTTTCCCAGAAGGTCAATCTGAAGCATCATATACTTGTGCATGAAAAAAATAAAATAAAATAAATTTTTGAATCACTTTAGCAGAAGAGTAATGTGACACTTGAATACAGTGTCTTGCATCAGCTTAAAACCACTTGAGCAAACTTTATGTATGTAACACAAGTTATTACGATATTACCATATTAGTCCTGCATAAACCCATCTCTTACGTAGTTAGACCACTGATGATGTTGGTAAAGAATACTGAGCTTTTCATATACCTCTTGTATAATTTGACCCTAGCTCTTGAGAAATACTGTACAGTACAAGGTACCAGTGTAATACTAGACATAATTTGTAGAAAGACGCCAGATTCACGCCAGCACATCTTGGCCGCCTGCCGTCTACTTAATGTATTCTCATATCCGCCACATAAAGGCACACCTTAGGTATGGCACCATAGGATAACCCCTTAATTGCCATAATCCTTTTAGTATGGCTGTACACCACCCTGACCATTATTGATACAGTTTATGTAACCCAGCAACATTGTACCCTCCCAGCAATGTTGTACAGTAACTAAAACAACTACTGTATATGTGCATACTTTGTGGGAAACAATACAAGACCATTGACGATAAATTTTGGTACATGAGAGCTGTCACCAGTCACATTGAGGGCTGTCACACGTAAAATTTGTAAGCATATCGACCCCCACCTGCAAAGATAGTTGTTTTAGCTACTGTATATAGAAGCAATGATAGATTTCTTTGCCGAGAAACACCACTAACAGTAGTACACTACTGTATAGTACTGTATTAATAAAATTGGACAATGTAGTTACTCGTCCAATATTACTTAAACTGTACAAATGTAGCGGGAAACTAGCGCCTATTATGAGAAAATCAGGTGGGAAAACAAGTGAGAAGAATGGGCAACACTGTGATTGCCATAATAACCATTGCTCAGAGAGGTGTCATGGGATGGAACTAAAAATTTCATATTTGTAGAATTTTGTGAATTTCCAGTTTAATGTTGTTATTATTGTGAGATGATAATTATTTGTAGAATTTTTTAAAATAATTTTCAGGTAATTAACCAGATTTTTTCATTTATGCCAATCATTAATAAACGTTTACAACACTATGCAAAAATAACTTGTATAGAAACACAAGAGATATAAACAAACACATTTCATTCTGAAAACTTGTGTTCACATCTGTCAAGTACAGACGCTGGTCACTGGTCGGTCTGCACCACTTAACCCTGACCATACAGCTTTGAGAGGTGTAAGCTATATCAACTATATAATAAATGACTTATCAGGTACCGCAACACACAAGTGTACAAGATAACACACCCACCTACACACCCACCTACGTACACACCCACCAACACACCCACCTACACACCCACCTACGTACACACCCACCAACACACAACTACGTATAAACGAAATTATAAGGATTTGTATCATAACACGTCTGCAGGCAGCTTCAGCTCATTCAAGGCCACAGTGGCATATATGCATATCAGCCCCCCTCCAGCTGGCCGTCTCAGGTCAAACCGTCATTATATAGAAAATCATTTTTTAGATATCTGTGAATAAGTTCATTATGTTTTGAAACAATGCAGTTAAGTTTCAAATGTTTTTGTGGTACAGTAATAATGTTAAATGTTGTGTGCTACTTATAGTCACAACACCTTAATTATGTATAAATGTATGGATAACTATGACTTGCTCTATAGGATGGTCTGAAGGAGGGGGGGGGGTCCTTAGGATGTTCTGAAGGAGCGGGAGGTACGGGGTCCTAAAATAACCCCCTTCACACACACAAGTATTAGTACGATGTGTTTTATTGAGGGAAATGGTGGTAGTTGTATTACTCTCTTCTTGATTAATACAATGATCAAATTATTTTTGAAGTTAAATGATGATAACTGTTAAATGATAACTGTAAAACAATGATAACTGTTAAATGATAATAACTGTTAAATGATAATAACTGTTAAATGATAATAACTGTTAAATGATACTAACTGTTAAATGATGATAACTGTTAAATGATGATAACTGTTAAATGATGATAACTGTTAAAGTCTATTAAAAAACTCAGGCTTCAAGAGTGGTGGGAAACGTACCCAACATTACCTCTGTTTTAAGCTTTATTAGTTGTTTGTCTTTCTAGAGACGATTCATTGACTGATTTGTATACTGTCAAGTACAGACAGTTATGCGATGCCGTATTCACTTAAGAATTGTCTTTTTACGAAATAATGTAACAAAACTATTGATAAAATACATATAGGATTAAAATGGTTATGAAAGGTAGTCACTCTTAGACTTTACACTTGGAGATACAACTTAACACACAGTGCCCCGTACTACACATGGCCAATATGTAGTACATGTAGTTAATATTATTTTTGGATACTGTATATAAAATAAAACCTAATGAAATAATATTTTCTAAAAAAAAAATTCTTAAAAGTTCCGATAACTTTTACTTATATATAAAAAATTACATGTAGCTACAATACTTATAAATTTTCCACAGGGAGATTGGTAACATTGTTCTACTTAATAAAATCTTGGCAACAGTTATCATCTTGATATTTTGATGGACTGTGAATTTATATAAGACTTAAATGTGAAAACTATGAAGGTGGTTGACACGTTTAACTGTTCAGCTCAAGTTATTAAGTGAACAAATGCCTGTAGTGGACGTCTCCCCTACAAACTGCGTAGCTGCACACCACCTGCTACCGTCTTCCCTAGCAACCAAGCGTATCCGCATTCCAATGCCGCCGTATCCTAGCAACCGAGCCAAAAGACCGGCGACTTCTCGGGTTTTCCCAACATGACTCATAGCGGCTGCTGGGTATATAAGCTCTGTCTCTCCATTGAGATTCATTCTGACCATTCTTCTTGAACAAGCAGCACCTCCTCATCTGCCGCTGCCTGGCGACCCTCGCCTCTCCTCCGCCTGCCTGGCGGACCTCGCTCCCGCCAGCGAGCATGGCGACGCACCAGCTGTCCTTCTCTGAGCTTCCTCACCCACCAGCTTTCTCATTCTGGTCTCTCTTCTACAACAAGCATCACCTCCTCCAGCAAGCTCCACACTGTTAACATTTATTTCAACCAGGAGGCCAGCAACAGGCAACATCTTCCCTAACGAAGCTCCTGCACATCTACCTCCTTCAACAAGCTACTCACCGAACGTCTTCTACTGAGCTGCTCCCCACCACACGGCACCTCCAGCACCAGACTGTCTATCATATATCTTATATTATACAAGAAAACCACATTAGAGTTTCCTTCCATCCTGAGTGCTAGACAACATTAATATCTCGATACCCCTACAATGGTGACCCCGGAGATTAGCACTCACACAGGATGGAGGAGACACTGATCACGCTCCCAGTCTTCAAGTAGACACCGGCTCCTCTTCCTGCCCCACGCACCACATTCTGACGACCCCAGCACACCCGTCCTGCCTCAGACGCCGACCCCGGCTCGGCAGTACCTGCCGTGAGGGAAGCACACAACATCCATCGCCTCCACACCCCCTCTTTTCTCCCTCAGGTACTCCCTGCTAATGTCCTGCACCCTGCTGCTGTCGTGGACCCAGCTGCTGTCACGAGCCCTAATCCGCTTCTGCTGAAGCAGCCCCTGCTCCTGACCCAGGCCCACACACCCCAGCAGGCGCATCTGACTACCCTGTACCTGTCGTGAGGGAAGCACAACATTCATCGCCTCCACACACCCTTTTTCTCCCTTCTCCCACAGATAGTGTGTATCTAGACAGTTGTATTTCAGCGATCGGTTCATCACGCCATCGCCGTTGTCTCACATGAGGCATGCACCGCCCGGTCTGCCTCACATGTGCTAAGCAACTCTACAATCAACAAGTCTCCTACACCGCCTGGAGGGAAGGGGGAGTATTGTAGTGGACGTCTCCCCTACAAACTGCGTAGCTGCACACCACCTGCTACCGTCTTCCCTAGCAACCAAGCGTATCCGCATTCCAATGCCGCCGTATCCTAGCAACCGAGCCAAAAGACCGGCGACTTCTCGGGTTTTCCCAACATGACTCATAGCGGCTGCTGGGTATATAAGCTCTGTCTCTCCATTGAGATTCATTCTGACCATTCTTCTTGAACAAGCAACACGTCCTCCTCCGCCGCTGCCTGGCTGCTGATCGCTTCTCCTCGCCTGCCTGGCGGTCCTCGCTCCCGCCAGCGAGCATGGCGACCCACCAGCTGTCCTCTGAGCTTCCTCACCAACCAACTCTCATTCTGCCCATTTTCCTGAACAAGCAACACCTCCTCCAGCAAGCTCCTAGCTGTTACATTTATTCAACCAGGAGGCCAGCAACAGGCAACATCTTCCCTAACAAAGCTCCTGCACATCTACCTCCTACAACACGCTACTCACCGAACGTCTTCTACTGAGCAGCTCCCCACCACACGGCATCTCCAGCACCAGACTGTCTTCATATAACTTATATATTATACAAGAAAACCACATTAGAGTTTCCTTCCATCTTGAGTGCTAGACAACATTAATATATCGATACCCCTACATGCCTCAACCAATCTTCTGTTATGTAAACAAGAAACAACAGTTTACCTTGTGTGTGTTAGGCGGTGGTAGTGTTCGCGTCACCATCAGTCCTTTTCTTCCACCATCACACTTTCTTCACTTTGTCTTCTTCACATGTTGAGGTGAAGTGACATAAAAATACTACTCTTCTGTGTTAACTACAACACAACACTAGGACCTACCCTGTAAACATGTGTGTTAGTAGAACTGATCCCTAGAGCTGAACATTATACAAGCCTCGGTGTGTCTCACTACCTGAAGTTGGCACCGTTATACGTTTCCAGCACTGGCGGGGCAGGTGTTAGTACACTACAGTATGGCAGAGAACATCTAATATCCTCCCCTGACACACCGAGGCTCACGGATCAACAAATCACAAATCTGTGGTTTATGGACCTGCAATACTTTATAGAAATTAGAATATCATAATATATCAAACTAAACCTTAAATTATCTTTAAATTTGATTGTGTAGATTTTAAAACTACAATGTTACGTTAAGCTTCTAAACCGGTAAACTTGCACTTACCTTAACCCTCTCCTGGTGTGTCGTGGACATGTACGTGTCTCATCCTGTAAAGGAAACTAATATTAGATACAGACTTTATGTGTTCCGCAAAAGAGGTGTTTTATGAAACCTGTACAGTGGTCCATCGGTTAACGAAATTTCGGTTAACGAATTACTTTCCATAAGAATCTTCAATTCGGTTAACGAACAAAGATTCAATTAACAAAATTCTTACCAAAACATGTCAACATGTTTTGGCTTGCTCATCGGCTGGTAGGTCAGCCATCAATACAGTAATCTGTTCTCAGCTTACATTGTTTCCATTGGAGTAAATATCATGAACGTTGTGCTATTCAATATTTTTCCAAGTTTTATATTAAAATTATTAGTCATTTTAACATTTATTTAACATAATTGCAGTACAGGGAACTAGTTTTTGGTGCGCCCATCAGTCACTTCACTCAACCACCAATGCGTCAATTTGTTTCTCTGTTCAGTGGAGGAAACCTCTTGCTTGTGGGTCTCTTGAACACACAGTATTTTTACGTTTTACAGTACAGTACAATTATTGGACATTCTGAAATTTATTTAACATTGATAATATATAGTGCAGTGCAGTGTTGATTTAAATAAAATAATCTTGAATTACACCAATTGAACTTAAAATTTTATTGGCGAAATTACTGCATCAAGTATGGGTCCCCTGAAAGGTGATTTCTCCTCCATGCCCACTTCCTTCTCTTCTCCCTTCTCCTCCACCCCCACTTCTAATTCCCATCATCTGTATGTACTTTTCGGTGAGCTGGAACCAATTACCCAATATCCCATTGAAACAATGGGTTTGGTTAACGAAATTTCCGGTTAACGAATGACCTTCTGGAACGAATTGTGTTCGTTAACCGAGGGACCACGGTGTGTATATGTGTGTGTGTGTGTGTATATATATATATATATATACTGTGTGTGTGTGTATAGAGAGAGAGAGAGAGAGAGAGAGAGAGAGAGAGAGTTTTTCTATAAGTGTCATCTGGTGAGACATATCAGGGTTCGTACAGGAGAGAAACCTTACCAGTGTTCTCAGTGTCTCAAAAACTTCACACAGAAATACCATCTTGAGAAACATAAGATATTACACACGGGAGAGAAGTCGTTTCATTGTGTCGTGTGTCAGAAAAACTTCTCCACTAAAACTCACTTGGTAAAACATATGAGAGTTCATACAGGTGGGAGACCATTCCAGTATGCACAATGTCCCAAAAGCTTCTCACAAAAATCAGACATCATTACCCATATGAGAGTCCACACGGGATAGAAGCCATTCCAGTGTTGTGAATGTCTCAGAAACTTCTCACAAAAATACAATCTCATTAAACACATGAGAATACACACGGGGGAGAAGCCATATTTGACTGGGGTTCCTGCTACCCCAGTATAGCATTGTGGTATAGAGAAGGACATCCACTCACTCCAAAGCTCTCAGAAGATCACCAATAGTTACTTTACTGGTGTGTGAGGTGGAGAGGGTAAGTTATAAACAGTGTGTGACGTATAGTTGATGATGGGTAGTGCTGGTGGTGTTAAGACATGGCCATATGTACACATGAGCCAAGGGGATTATATCTCTTATTAGGGGATTATATCTCTTATTAGGGGATTATATCTCTTATTAGGGGATTATATCTATTATTAGGGAATTATATCTCTTATTAGGGGATTATATCTATTATTAGGGGCTTATATCTCATATTAGGGGATTATATCTATTTTTAGGGAATTAGATCTCTTATCAGGGGATTATATCTCTTATTAAGGGATCGCATCTCAAAATGTGTTGAACTTCAAGTGATGGCTGGACAAAATCCGGACTAATCAAGTTAATAATGTATCTATATGACTCTGATTGATGATTATGGATTTATACTGTAAATACCTGTACCTGTTGTGAAGCCATTAACCCGCTCCCTTTGTTATCACTTAGTGTAATAACAGTGTACAGTAATAATGATTAGGTCAACAGCCTTAACCAGTGGAAGGTGGGCAGGAAGGTCATGACCCCAAATGCTATGCCAGGGTCATCTTGATAATTAAACTGTTTGTATATCATTGTGTAGACCAGAAACTATTGATGTAATATAAGGATTTACTACCTAGAGTTAGCCCCACTAGAGGTCACAGCCTCAAGAAGCTATCAGTACAAAAAAAATTTCCCAGCTAACTTGTTTGGAGGTAAGAATTGTGAGCTGTTGTAATAACCTGTCAGAGAATGTTGTAACAGCACCAAGTATGAGCTGATTTATGATCACACTTGACCAACACTGTCGAGCAACATGTTCAAGTAGTACTGTATATTCAAGAGCCTTTACATGTCCAGTAATTGTTGTAGAAGATAAAGTAAAAATTAAAGATTACAGTACATGATTCTGACTAAACTCAACAAGGCTCTCCACTTTACACTACACTGGGACTTCACTGACAATACAAAGAAGACAAATGTTACAAGGTTACTCAAATCCAATAAGAGGAAAGGTTATTTTTTTTAACTATGATGGCATTAATTCTCAACCTTTGCAATGGCATCTATGATAAGGCGAGATAAGGTTTGTTTATCAATAAATAAGTGTATTGATAAGGGAAGTGGGTATCAGTTGAACTGTTTGTGCTGTTGGGTGAGGCAGCATGGCTCTTACTGTCAGACCTTTGCTCGTCTTACTGCTGTTATTAGTAAGTTTACAGCTGCTGTTTTCTTATTACTTTTCATGTGTCTCCCTGGTGTAAGTGTTGCTGTGCTGGGCTGCTGTTCAGACGTGTCTGCATCTTTACAGCAGTTCATCTTGTTAATAACTGGAAGCCGTAACTTTGTATGCTATCCGAGTGCTTCTTGTATGTTTACAGCTGTTCTTAATGCTGTTAATTGTGCCCTTATTTCCTTAGCTGCTGTGCTAGTATGCTATGGATGTTTACTGCAGTTCCTGTCGCTGTTAATTGTGACCTTGTGCCTTGAATTGCTGTCTTACTACCTTGATTTCCTTAGCTGCTGTGCTAGTAAAGGACCTCCATGTTTACAGCAATTCCTGCCGCTGTTAATATCCAACTATCTCCTTGACCACTGCTGTTAATATCCAACCATCACCTTGACCACTGCTGTTAATATCCAACCATCACCTTGACCACTGCTGTTAATATCCAACCATCTCCTTGACCACTGCTGTTAATATCCAACCATCACCTTGACCACTGCTGTTAATATCCAACCATCACCTTGACCACTGCTGTTAATATCCAACCATCACCTTGACCACCGCTGTTAACCACCAAATATATGTTAGGCTCTCCATTGTGCTATCAACCTGGTGCTGTGAAAGATGACTCAGAACACTTCATAGACTCATGTTATCAGAGTCTCCTTAACTTATCTCTCATATAATCTACAATTGCAGGTTACAGTCAGTGCATGTCTGTATGGTCAACTCTTCATGTCTGTATGGTCAACTCTTCATGTCTGTATGGTCAACACTTCTTCCTAATTGTCTCAGAGCACTTCTAGGTTAGTCCTCCCCTCTCATCTTATTTATCGTGATTAGAGCCCTTCCCAGCTTATTTCACCTGATTAGAGCCCTCTCCAGCTTATTTCACCTGATTAGAGCCCTTCCCAGCTTATTTCACCTGATTAGAGCCCTCTCCAGCTTATTTCACCTGATTAGAGCCCTCTCCAGCTTATTTCACCTGATTAGAGCCCTCTCCAGCTTATTTCACCTGATTAGAGCCCTCTCCAGCTTATTTCACCTGATTAGAGCCCTTCCCAGCTTATTTCACCTGACTAGAGCCCTTCCCAGCTTATTTCACCTGACTAGAGCCCTTCCCAGCTTATTTCACCTGACTAGAGCCCTCTCCAGCTTATTTCACCTGATTAGAGCCCTTCCCAGCTAATTTCACCTGATTAGAGCCCTTCCCAGCTTATTTCACCTGATTAGAGCCCTCTCCAGCTTATTTCACCTGATTAGAGCCCTTCCCAGCTTATTTCACCTGATTAGAGCCCTCTCCAGCTTATTTCACCTGATTAGAGCCCCCCAGCTTATTTCACTTTATTACTAGCACTCCCAGCTTATTCCACTCAATGATGAAACACCCCAATGCTACCCAAGACGTCATGTTAGGTTAGTTTATGTTTGATTGTTATGCTTGGTTAGGTTAGGTTATGATGGCTAGATTGTTATTACTGTATTTGTTTGTGTGTTTGTCTGTCAACCACATTATGTCATTGTTATGTTGTTGCTGTGTTTGTCTTTCATAACACTGTTCAATAAAAACTAGAGAAGGAAATATTACTATTATTATTATTTGCGGTAGTAATGTTATCATTATGTGATTAGTACTATTATTATTAACAATTATGGTCAATATTAGTATTATTAGTCATTAATAATGCAATTACACTTGTTAATGGTAACTATTTGTTCTTATTATTATTAATGATCAACATTTCACTTTACAGAATGGCTTGGTCAGGAGCCATGACCAAAACACAGGTGAGTGTGTGTGTGTGTGTGTGCACAGGGTGGTGTAATGCATCTAGTGTGGCAGCATTATGTTAGTGTTAAAGTGCAGGCATTGCTTGCTTCCTTTTGCTTTCGTCTACCACCGCTTTCAGGGAAGCAACTTGCATAAGTCTTCCCCTGCCAGTACACAGCCTCTTCACCATCAAGACTCCTGCTGTGCCTCCTCGCAGCAACACATGGTAACTGGGTGCCTCGTGGGCCCAGGCTAGACCAACAGGGGATCTTGGAGTAGCAGTGGGCCCCAGAGGGACGGCGCATAGGCTCACTGTGATGTGGACACGTCCTGGCGCCTAACAACCACCGCCCCGCTGCCTTGCAGACTAACCTTGGTAAGTATAAGACAACGGGAGAAAACCTTGAACAAAAAATCTGCGGTGGTGCCCAGCATCAGACAGCCATGCTTACAGAGCTCCAACAAGACCCCAACGGCGGTGTAGGCGGAAGACGTGACCACCATGGAGACACAACAACTACACCGGCAGACGAAGGCAATGAATGATGAACAGACTACTAAAGCGAAACCCAACAAACGGGGCTATCGGCAGTCCATTGCAACTCTCCCTCTCCCCAGTCGTTGCAACACTTGCACCACTGGACCAGGAAAAGGGAGAGCCAAGATGTGTGGTTGCAGCCTGTGTTCCTGCCTCACCACACGAGTCAACTCACGGGCAGCCATCACCCAGCTCATCATCATCAACCCCTTATACCCCCCAAAAGACCTATGGCGACGGGGCCAGGCAGAGATGACTGCCGGGACTCTCCAGTCACAACTCTGCACGCTGGGCAGTTAAACAGTGGCGGGAAGAGGCGCGCGTTCTGTTACGTCACCCGGGGCCTAAGGGTTCAGGTCTAGCAACGGCCCTGTGTCAGGATCTTTCTGGATACTGGTACAAATGAGTGTCCTGAAAGAAGTACCGCCCTTGTGGCAAAAGAGCTATCCACTAGCCAAAGCAGCCATCAGTGAGTCCCGGCTCCCAGACGAGGGTAGACTCACAGAACGGGGGTCTGGCTACACCTTCTTCTGGAAGGGTAAGCCTGCTGCAGAGAGAAACAGCATTTATAGAGTTGGCTTTGCCATTTGCTGATGCAACCTACACACGCTAACTGAATGTCTGCTGGGGTCAACGAGCGTCTCATGATGCTCCGAGTCCCACTGAATACTCACATCATGCCTTCATCAGTGCATACACCCCAACACTGGATGCAGAGGATGACATCAAGGAGGCCTTTTAAACCGACCTCGACAGAGTGCTAACCTCTATCCCCAGATAAGATAAGGTTGTGCTCTTCGGTAACTTTAATGCCAGAGTTGGTAGAGATGCTGACATTTGGCAGGGAACCATAGGGAGAAATGTTTAGGCAAGAGTAATCCCAACGGCCTACTCCTCCTCAGCAAGTGTGCTGCACACAACCTCACTATCACCAATACCTTGTTTAGGCAGGCCGACAAGTTTAAGGGTTCGTGGCAACACCCACGATCCAAACACTGGCATCTCATTGACTACATCATTGTCAGAGAAAGAGATCGCCGAGATGCCCTCATCACCCGAGCCATGCGTGGCTCAGACCACCGTGACACTGATCATCAGATCGTCAGAGCCAAGCTATCACTCCACGTTACCCCAAAATGGCAAAGGCAACAAGCCTCCAGAAGAGACTTTAACACTAACCATCTGAAGGATCCAGCGGCAGCACATGCTTTCAGAGAGCAGCTGGAACATGGGCTGATAAACAACCCCACAACGAATAACCCAAATACCAGTGCCAAATAGGGTATTGTCAACACTGTCATGACAAAAACCTGCAGGGAGACCCTCGGCCAGATCGAAAGAATACACCAGGAATGGTTTGATGAAAATGACCAAAGCTGATACCTTCCACGAGAAGGAAGCGGCAGCCCAGAGTGAAATTCGGAATCTAAAGAATGACTGGTTTAAAAATAAACCATGTGAAATGCAAAAACTTGCAGATCAACACAAGATGAGCAAATTTTTCAAGTTCACTAAAACATTTTATGGGCCAATTACTCATGGCGCGGCCCCTCCACTCATCCCACGGTAACCCCATAATTAAAGACGAGGAAGGCATCCGTCAGAGCTGGAAAGAGCACTACCATTCGCTGCTTAATCTAAACACTGATGTGGATATCCTGACTACCCAGCAGGTCCCTCAGCATCCACAGCTGATCCGCCTCAGCTATCCTCCATCCCTGGATGAGGTAGCTACTGCCATCAAACAAATGAAAATAACAAAGCCTCAGGGCCTGATAGAATCCCAGCCGAGGTGTATAAAGCAGGAGGACCTCTGCTTACCAGCCGTCTCCACTCTCTCCTGGAGAATATATGGGAAAAGGAGGAAATCCCCCAAGCTCTTAAAGACGCCTCCATCGTCAATATTTATAAGAACACTGGAGACCGGTCAGACTGTGGCAACTACTGCAGGATCTTGCTGCTGTCTGTAACTGGCAAGATTATTGCCCAAGTCCTCCTAAACAGACTTCTTCCTGCAGCAGAAAACTTCCTCCCAGAATCTCAATGTAGCTTTAGACCATCACGTGGCACCACTGACATGATCTTTGCTGCCCACCACATACAGGAAAAGTGCATAGAACAGCGTCGTGACCTGTACACGGCTTTCATCGACTTAACCAAGGCCTTCGACTCGGTCAACAGGGAAGCCCTCTGGCAGACCTTCAGCTGTTTTGGATACCCACCAAAATTCGTCGCCATTGTGAGACAACTCAACGATGGCATGAACAGCAGGGTCCTACACAATGGCACCCAGTCTGAGTTCTTCCCCATCCAAACGGGGGTAAAACAAGGATGTGTACTGGCACCAACTCTCTTTTCCATTTTCTTGTGTGTGTGTGTGTGTTGACTAAATTCTTGGCTAAACTTCTTTTTTGGGGCATACATTAATAGTGAATTAAAATCTAAATATATTAAAAACCTGGAACAATTTGATCACCAAGTAAAGTCACAGTAACACCAAAAACAGAACATTATAAGTAAACTTTATAATATAAGTGTATTCTAAAGGCTCTCATTGGCAGCCAGATTACTTACAAAAAATATTTAACCTCGATGAAAGACACATTCCAACTCTCTTAATTCGATCCTAAAAATAGTGGATTCCAACCCCTTTTACTTTGACTCATTGGTTGTAGGATAAAGAATCTGATGTGATAAGCCGAGCCTTTTGATAATTTAACCAAACACTAATGTAATGTAACCTACCCTGACCTAACTTGAAATCCAACCTAACCTAAATCTAATCTAATCTAACCTAACCTAACCATTAGTTGAAATAAGCTGAAGGGGAAAGAAGGGAGGAGGTGGGTGGCTATTCCTCAGGTGATACAGTAAAGAGAATATATTGACCCTTTTGAGCCCCTGATCCTAAAGGTGATAAAAATCAAAGGCATAATATTAATCTTGGTTCATTTCTCCTCAGGTACAGACTGGACGAGTTTCCCATCCACCACCACCACCACCACCCCACCGGCACGTAAGATAAATTTATATTTCTTAGAACACCTGCAGATTAAATACACCCCACCCCACCGCACCCCCCAGATGATTGACCACCCTAATACTAACCTAACCTAACCTAACCTAACCTAACCTAACCTAACCTAACCTAACCTAACCTAACCTAACCTAACCCACCCCACCGCACCCCCCAGATGATTGACCACCCTAATACTAACATAACCTAAACGAATTTAACATAGACCAAAACAATTCTAGTGTAATTTAACCCGGTGATGTATTGTTAACCACTTGATGATGGGTTAACGATACTTATGCTAACTTTAGTGTTAATAATAGACCTATGTTAACTTTACTGTGTTAATAATAGACCTATGTTAACTTTACTGTGTTAATAATAGACCTATGTTAACTTTATGATGTGTTAACAAATAAAATTTATATTAGGTTACAGTAGGTCAGGTCAGGTCAGGTCAATTTAAGTTAGGTCAGGTCAAGTTTGGTTTGGCTAGGTTTGGTTTTAGTAGATGAGGTCAAGTTAGGTTAAGTAACAATAGGTCAGGTGAGGTCAGGTCAAGTTAGATTAAGTAACAATAGGTCAGATCAGGTTTGGTTTGGCTAGGTTTGGTTTTACTAGATCAGGTCAAGTTAGGTTAAGTAACAATAGGTCAGGTGAGGTCAGGTCAAGTTAGATTAAGTAACAATATGTCAGGTCAGGTCAAGTTTGGTTTGGTTAGTTTGATCCAGTGACCCCAACCCCATTTCAAATAAATCCAATTACACAACTTGTTTCAGATAATGACATGACCCTCGAATTGGCCATTGGAATACCTCTGGGGGTTGTGGCTCTCCTAATCATCATTTCTGTTATCGTTTACTTCAGCTGCCGTCGGAAGAAAGTAATACCAGAGGTGAGTGGGCGGGTGGGTGGGAGTGGGCGGGTGGGTGGGAGTGGGTGGGTGAGTGAGATGGAAGAAGTGAGGGAAGGGAGTGAATGAGTGAGCGAGTGAGTGAGTTAGTTAACGAGTGAGTGAGTTAGTTAACGAGTGAGCACAATATCAACTACCAAATCGGCCTCGTTCCAAACACCCTTCAATCCAATCTCCTGTAACATAATCGAATCCTACCCAATCGTATATCTTGGGGTCCAGACCAATCATCCCCTAACCTAACCTAACCGTGACTATTGAGGGGGGGGGGGATCATGTATGAGCCCATCTAACGTAATCTGACCAAGAAGCTGATTAAGTTAGTCGTATTGGTCTAATTAACTCTCGAGGATTGTCACACACACACACACACACACACACACACACACACACTAACTATGAGTTATTTCACCACCTTAGAAAGGACAGGAGAGGTGGTGGTGTAATTCTGTACTGTCGCAGCGACCTCAAACCGTCACCCCTAGGTGTTAATGTACCTGAAGATGTAGAAGCCTTGTGGGTTCAGGTCACTCCCACCCCCGCCAGCTTGCCTCCCTCATTGTTTGTGTTTGCTATCATCCCACCCGGGCACCAACCGCCAATGTACTGATTACTCATATTATAGACACTGCCGACTCCCTGAGATCCAGATTTCCATGTGCTAAACTAGTGATATGCGGTGACTTCAATGAGTTAGACATCAGTGACATCACCCAACACCTCCACCTTACACAAATAGTTGACTTTCCCACACATGGCAATGCCACCCTTGACCTCATCATGACTGATTTCGGTAACCAATACCTTCCCCCCCAGCCGCTGCCTCCCATGGGACGCAGCCCCCACCTGTCCCTACTGTGGTCACCTACCCCTGTCTCTACTGTGATTACCTACCCCACCTGTCTCTACTGTGGTCACTACCCCACCCCTGTCCCTACTGTGGTCACCTACCCCCACCTTCTCACCACCACCAGTTGCCACCAGGACTTACCGACCCACCCCCGACTCTGCTATGCGGCGTTTCGGACAATGGATAACCCGGTATCCCTGGACTGAAGTGATCACGGTAGACGATGTGCAGAACAAGTGGGATAATTACCTGGACACTATCACCAAAGCCTACCACCACTTCTTTCCAGCCAAAACACTGAGGATCCACCCCGATGATGTCCCGTGGATTACGCCCCGCATAAAAAGACTTATTGAGCAGCGCAACAAGGCATACTACACCAACAACCGCCTGTACAAAAGTCTACGTAACCAGGTCATCAGGGAAATCAAGTCTGCCAAGAAGACTTATTATCCCAGGAAAGTGCACGGCCTCAAGGAAGTCGGCATCGGTCAGTGGTACTCCAAGGTAAAAGATCTCTGTGGTCTCAACCGTCAGTCTCCCACACTTCCTTTCATCTCACATTTACCTAGTGAGGAGGCAGCTGAGATAATTAATAACCATTTTGCTACCATATGTCATACCTTACCCAGTCTTGACCTCACTCTCCTCCCAGCTTACTTACCTTCCCCCTCCCCCCCTCCCAGTGTCCAACCATATGAAATCGCCAACAAACTCCTGAAATTTAAATCCAAACGCTCCACGACCCCAATTGACCTCCCAATCAAAATATACAAGGAGTTTGCAGTCGAACTTGCCACCCCCCTCTGTTCTATTATTAATGCATCCCTCAGACAAAGCAAATGCCCTAATGAATGGAAAACCGCATTTGTCACCCCTATCCCCAAGGTCACCACCCCATAGTCCCCTAACGACCTCAGGCCAGTTGCCATTACCCCCATACCCAGTCTACTCTGTGAAGACTTTGTTTTTGAGTGGGCATTTGCTAGAATCTATCAGTTAATTGATCTACAGCAATTTGGCACTATGAGGACCTCCTCTACATCACACTGCTTAGTTAGTTTTCTGGATTTCCTGCACAAAAACCTGCAGAAACGTAAGACATCACTGGCCGTTGCCCTTGTTGACTTCAGGAAGGCGTTTGACCTTGTTGATCACTGCACTGTTATCAACAAGGCCATTGCAGTAGGGCTGCCCACCAACTTGGTCTCATGGCTCATTGATTTCCTGAGTGGACGTCGTCAGGCAGTGAGGTATCAGGGTTCTGTCTCCACATTCCAACACCTCACCTGCAGTGTTCCCCAGGGGACCAATATGGGACCACTGTGCTTCCTCATCCTGATCAACGACGCTCTATAGGACACTCCTCACAGGTGGAAGTATGTGGATGACTGCACTGTGGGGATTACAGTGGACAACACCGCACCAGGACAGGCACCCTGGACAGGCTACAGGCATGAACCACGGAGAAGAAGGTCACCATCAACCACACCAAAACCGTAGTCATGCACATCAATACCGCCACCACTCCAGTGCAAGCCCCAACAGTCACAGTGGGTGCCCATCCTCTCCAGCTGGTACAGTCTGCCAAACTCCTGGGTGTTACCATAGACCACAAACTGGACTGGAAGGCCCATGTAAATAACACAACCAAGGCAGCCTCATACCGACTCTACGTGCTACAACGACTTAGGTCACTTGGGACACCCACGCCAGAGCTGAGGACTATCTACAACACCAGCCTGGTCATCTTCTCTCAACTCGACCCAACAACGTCGGCTAGAGAAGGGCCTGCAGAATCATGCTCGGCGCAGACTACTCCGGCTACACCAACGCTCTCTCCACCCTGGAAATGCCATCCCTCAGTGACCTCCACCACCAAGCACTAGCAGGGTTTGGCAGTGGACTACTGCACCACCCTCATCATCACCACCTCCTGCCACCAGCAGTCCCCCACCCACCTCGCGCAGTCTGCCACTACAACAAAATTCAGCCCATAAGAGCCCGCACTGATAGATATAAGAATAGCACCATCCCATCTATTGTTAAAATAATAAACAACTCCTGATTTATGTACTGTACAGTCCTGTAAATGTATTCAACGCATATTATATCATTATGTCTAAATCAAATGTAAGTCTGTATATTTTCAGCCACCGGCTGCAACTCTATTAATAAACCGTTTATTATTATTACTATTAACAATACTGTATATGTTAACGTTATATAATGATGCCTGTTACCATTGTTATTTACAGGTGGTGGTGACATATGGGACTGGGACTAACAACGTGAGCTTCATCGCCGACAGTACTCCCCAAGTAAGTCGCAAAGAACAGTACACTGGATCTATTAACAGAGAACGGTGTAAACTGTGAACCGCTGTACTGTTGTTTGGTAAATAGAGTCCTAATTACATAAATAAATAGAGAGATAAACTAAGAGACACACATGATAACATAACTAAATAAATAGATTAAACGAAAAGACATAGATGATGGATAATGGTGTTTGTTTTACCTAACAGGAAGAAATACTGAAGATGGAATTTGAAAAGAATTTTGAAGAACAAGTTTATAGCAAATCAACATCAATCGCCCTGCAGCACCGAGACAGGAACAGATATGAGGATATTTTGCCATGTGAGTTTGACCTTCATGATGATTTTACCGTCACACTGTTTTTATTATGTTGTCATGTTGTTGGGATGAAAAGCAAACAGAAACACAAACACAAACAGAATCTCCTTTCATTGTTCAGTCACTGCTGTAGATAGATAGATAATGTACACACCCAGGCAGACATATAGACAAATATGCTTTGCTATGGTAAACTTACAAGCCACTTAATATGACACAAAAAAAATAGGCGATTATTTTCCACATAGACAATTTAACCTAACATAATTTAACTTAACCTAACTTAAAGACTACTGTTAAATTTCACGTGGTTGATTATTCTGCATTTTAAGTTTAAGACCTAACATAAATAATTCTCACATTGCAGTTGATGTTACACTAGTGAGATTAAACAAAGTGGACTACATCAATGCTTCTTATATCTTTGTGAGTATAGATAGGAGAGTGTGTTTGTTTCTCATACATACAGTGCCGGATTAACCATTAACCACAACCCTCAGGCCTCCCGACTCTAAGGGGGCCCCCAAATCCAAACATTCTCCAAGTTGAAGCGTATAAAACATGAACTTCTTTCAACAATGTCCTAGCAACGTCTCTATTTTCTGTCTCTTATGAACATTACGTGTGTTATTTTGCAGAAGTTTAATATTGATGAAATCATTGATAAATTTGGGTATATTTTGTTCTTGTTATTTATATAGACATTGAGGGTAGGGGGCCCTATGCCTCAGGCCCCTATTAAGCTTAATCCGGCCCTGCATACATAGGTTATACATAGTAGGGTATACATAGAAAGGTATATAGTGGGGTATACATAGAAAGGTATATATAGTAGGGTATACATAGTAGCCCAGTACTCATCAACAGTGTATACCTTACCAACAACACGACTGGCAAGGCATCTGATAAGTGACGAAAAGAGTACAGTATTGAAAAGGTAATCTAGGCGGGGGGATTAGTGGGTGGGTGGGTGTGTCAGGAGAATCTTGATGAAAGTAATATTTGTAAGACATTGAGATAGAGACATATGCTTCAATGGATAGATAAAATAAAAGAGAGAAAGCTTTAGATTAGATTAAGATAGATTAGATTAAGTAAGGAACATTAAGGTGTTTAATCAATCAGGTGTCAAGAAAATATATCAAAAACCTTCAAATAATCCACAGTTTCTATAATGTCTCTCTCAGTTTTAAGTGTATTGATTACTTGAATTGTGATATGTTGATAAGAGACATTGGTTCAATATCACACAGGGGAAGAAGTTTATAGCCACCCAGGATCCTCTACCAGACCAAGATGATGATTTCTGGCAGTTGATATGGGAGCAAAGGGTTCAAATTATTGTCCGACTTTCTACTGACAATTCTAGCCAAACTGTAAGTCTGTGTGGGTGTGTTCTCTCTCCTCTCTATTTTATCTCTTTCTGCTTTCTTTCTTACTCTCTTTTTTCCCTTCTCTATCATTTATCAGTACCTATACAGTGTGAATATATATATACAGTATATGTAAATAATAATAAATTCATCTAACTACAAAAAATAAAAATAAATACTAATCATATAATTCTTACTTCACAATAACCTAACCAAATCTCGACTCCATAACCACTACCTTAACCCAAGTAAAATATTCATATATCCAGGTCGCGCGGTATATTGACGACCGCGGCGACAACACCTGGGTAATGGGCCACGATGAGTTGAATGTCTCGGTCCTCACTACACACAACAACGGAGTGTTCTACAAGAGGACGTTTAAAGTTAGCAAGGTGGGTGGGCTCTGTTGTTAATGGGGACTATAACACCTCTAATGAACCCTCACCACTAATGAATCCTCAGCACTAATGAACCCTCGCCCTTAATGAACCTTCACCCCTAATGAATCCTCAGCACTAATGAACCCTCACCCGTAATGAACCCTCAGCACTAATGAACCCTCACCCGTAATGAACCCTCACCCGTAATGAACCCTCACCCGTAATGAACCCTCATCCCAAACGAACCCTCAACCCTCTGAAAAAATAAAATTCCCGTTAATAATTTTCCTCTCGTGTTAATAATGATAACCGTTGACCTGCCACTACTGCCCTCCAGGATAATGACGTCAGGTTCATTGAGCACTTCCACATGACCAACTGGCCAGAGGGGAGAGTGCCACAGCGAGACGACACCCTCAACCTGATAGTGTCAGCTCGTAGTGCCAGCATAAAGTATGGATCAGAGAGTCCAACCCTTATACACTGCGGGTAGGTTGATTTACATTGGTATTTCCCCCCGCTTTTGTAACGAAAATAATAATAATAAAAACAATACCAAAAAAACTAACAAAAATAATTAAAACAATAATACTATAGGTTTACCTCAATTTACGATAACTGTACAGTATTTGGTTTACATTATGGTTTACAGAAATAAACCCATATTGTACATCAAAAGGTATTGTAAATCCAGGTATCGTGGAGCTATTGTAGGTATCTCTCAGTGAAGGGTTACAGGTCCTACAGTATACACTAAAAGGGCCACCAACCTCATGTTATAGATTGCAGTTAAGTTTGGCTATTTTGTGGCATCTCAGAACATAAGACACATATTGTACTGAAGTTATAATGGATTAGCACAGAGAATACAGCTGTTAGTGTAGATTATATACTGTAACCATATTCTTTTGCCATAGTGGGATAGGTCACGTTTATACCACATTATTGGTCACTAATGTTATAGTTGCTCCACAATATCTGTTGGTCTTGTCGACAGTGCGGGCTGTGGCAGAACGGGCACCATCATTGCACTGTGGCATATGATTGACGAGTTCCTTGCAGATCGGATGGTCAACATTGTCAGGACTGTTGAAAGCATGCGCAGGTGTCGTATGTCAATGGTGAAATCAGTGGTGAGTTTATCAATTGTAATTTCTGTATTCTATCCTCTTTGCCAGCTGGCCAGTCAATTAGCTGTGAGAGTTTCTGTACTGATAGCTTCTTTAACTTGAAGCTGTGACTCCTACTCGGATAGCTGACTGCTAATTCCAAATATCTACACTAGCTGGGTGCAGTACTGGCCTTTAAAATACATTATAAACATCAACTAAATTATCCCTTGCTCTTCTATAACATAACCAAAGCATTTATAAAGGTTCTAATCTCCCATAGTGAGTTGTGTGTGTGTGTGTCAGCACCCGTTTGGGATCCCTCCTTTGGGTTTAAATAGTTTGATCTGTTACATTAAACCACCACCAGATTCATTAAACCACCACCAGATTCTCTATGATTCTTAGATTATCTCCAGAACTTCCACCATATCCAGGTATTTGTTTAAATTATTTCAAAACGATGCTATTGATTCATACAAAGTCTTTCAGCCAATAAAAAATCAACAAAATATACACAATAACGACTTCTATATTCTCATTACCTGTACAGTACAATATGTAGTTTAAAGTAGTATTAATAACTAAATATTTGACTTTACCATTATGTTTTAGTTCTCTATAAACATAAAGTATTTGTTCATCTTTCAGGAGCAGTACATCTCTATATACAAGTGTTTCGAGGAATTTAAGAAGAACCCACAACGCTGGCAAGTAAACAGTCGTAAGTAAAGAATATTCAGTATTAAACCTCCATCTGATAAACCACATAGAGATGAAAGTCCATTATATCGAGGGTCCGTTAGATGTTAAACCTCCATCTAATGAACTATATAGAGATGAAAGTCCATTATATCAAGGGTCCGTTAGATGTTAAACCTCCATCTAATGAACTATATAGAGATGAAAGTCCATTATATCGAGGGTCTGTTAGATGTTAAACCCCCATCTAATGAACTATATAGAGATGAAAGTCCATTATATCGAGGGTCTGTTAGATGTTAGACCTCCATCTAATGAACTATATAGAGATGAAAGTCCATTATATCGAGGGTCTGTTAGATGTACACACTCATCTAATGACTATATAGAGATGAAAGTCCATTATATCTGAGGGTCGTTAATGTTAAACCCCATCTAGAACTATATAGAATGAAAGTCCATTATATCGAGGGTCTGTTAGATGTTAAACCTCCATCTAATGAACTATATAGAGATGAAAGTCCATTATATCGAGGGTCCGTTAATGTTAAACCTCCATCTAATGAACTATATAGAGATGAAAGTCCATTATATCAAGGGTCCGTTAGATGTTAAACCTCCATCTAATGAACTATATAGAGATGAAAGTCCATTATATCGAGGGTCTGTTAGATGTTAAACCCCCATCTAATGAACTATATAGAGATGAAAGTCCATTACATCGAGGGTCTGTTAGATGTTAGACCTCCATCTAATGAACTATATAGAGATGAAAGTCCATTATATCGAGGGTCTGTTAGATGTTAAACCTCCATCTAATGAACTATATAGAGATGAAAGTCCATTATATCGAGGGTCCGTTAATGTTAAACCCCCATCTAATGAACTATATAGAGATGAAAGTCCATTATATCGAGGGTCTGTTAGATGTTAGACCTCCATCTAATGAACTATATAGAGATGAAAGTCCATTATATCGAGGGTCTGTTAGATGTTAAACCTCCATCAAATGAACTATATAGAGATGAAAGTCCATTATATCGAGGGTCCGTTAGATGTTAGACCTCCATCTAATGAACTATATAGAGATGAAAGTACATTATATCGAGGGTCTGTTAGATGTTAAACCTCCATCTAATGAACTATATAGAGATGAAAGTCCATTATATCGAGGGTCGGTTAATGTTAAACCTCCATCTAATGAACTATATAGAGATGAAAGTCCATTATATCGAGGGTCTGTTAGATGTTAAACCTCCATCTAATGAACTATAAAGAGATGAAAGTCCATTATATCGAGGGTCTGTTAGATGTTAAACCTCCATCTAATGAACTATATAGAGATGAAAGTCCATTATATCGAGGGTCCGTTAGATGTTAAACCCACATCTTATGGTTTATATGGTGAGAGAAGTTCGCTATATAGGGGTTTCACTGTACCTGTATTATAGCGCACACACACACACGCACGCACACACACACACACACACAAAGCAGATTAATTACTTCCTTCGTCTCCTTCCCTCCCCATTTTCCTCGCTTCCTGTTCTTCCCTCTTTACTCTTCCTCCCTGCTCCACTTTTTCCCCCTTCCTCTTCTTCCCTCTTCCTCCCTCCTCCTCTTCTTCCCTCTTTACTCTTCCTCCCTCCTCTTTTTCCCTCTTCCTCCTTCTTCCCTGTTTACTCTTCCTCACTGCTCCACTTTTTCCCTCTTCCTCTTCTTCCTCCCTCCTCCTCTTCTTCCCTCTTTACTTTTCCTCCCTCCTCTTTTTCCCTCTTCCTCCTTCATACAGTTTACCTAACAATGTAACCTAATTTAACCTTAACTGAACCTAATCTAGTCAAATTGAACCTTATCTAGTGTAAATGAACCTCTTCTACTTTTTTTTTTAACGTGGCCTCCAGCCTCCCCCAATAGCCACACCTTCGGCGCCATTTTTTACCTTAATATTAATTATCCTAATACATAAGTAGCTATCCTATCTGTGTTGAATTAGTTGAGCCACAGATCTATGCGGCATTCAGTGACAGTAGCCTCATAGTCAATATCAGCAGCAGTTGTCGGCATTGGGGCAGAAGCTCTCGTTCCCCTGAGGCAGAGCAAAGCTGACCGAAGGAGAGAGAAAGACAGTCGACATCTCATCCAGGCTGTAACATAACTTCTGGGGTGCTGCTTCTGTTCGGAGATCACCTCCGCGAGTCTGGAGTAGAAACATCTTGCACTTGGTCCCATCTCACCAGAGGTTGTGAACACTAGAGGAGTGAAGCTGCCTTGATCAACGTTCCTCCTGTGTGCAGCATCGAGAGCTAAGTTACGGTGACATGCGATCATGGGATCAAAAATCCTGATGTCGAAGAAAGCTCGCTGTCCCCGCGTCCAAAATCCTCGAGCACTGACGTCAACACGGGCTTCGTTAGATGTGTTTGAAGTCCTATGTTGGAAGATCTCACCATCCAAAGGAAGGAGGGTCGGTTCTACCATGACATCCCGGCAGATTTCCTTCAATATATTTGCTGTGAGATCCCTTACTTCGTCATGCCTCATGCATATGAAGCCCTCTTTCTTGCACACCATGGCGTGATCGACGTCATAGGAAGAGCCACAATCGCATTGGGAGAGCAAACCTTCTACTGGCCGACCGTACCTTAGAGCAATGGCATCTGTAAATTCTTGTTTATTGAGACTGAAACCATTTGCCCTTATTGGTAACTAAGTTAACCAGTTCGAGGCACCCACCTCCTGTGCTATAGCTGCTTTTTTTTTCAAATTTTCTGGTACCTGCAGCTTATCATTTTGGCAGAGCTGTCGTTCTGTCGTAATGGACCTACTACTTCTACTACTACAGGTACTACAACAGGTACTACTACTACATTGTACTTGAAAAACATTAATCCCCATAGCTGAGACTGTGCCTTAAACACACACACTCTTACCTTCTCACCACCTCCATCAACGTCACCTCTTCCCCCCTTGTATAAAGTTAACCTCAGGATAAATCGTACGTCCACAGCTGTATCAGTCCACACCCCCAGAACAGCTGTGAAATAAGAGTCATATACCATATTTAGGGTTCAATTTAATGACTCAATTTTGACGAAGTAGTGACTGTGGGGCAAAAATATTGTTGGTTTTATTTTATATTTAACGTTAAAATGTGTTAAATTACCAGAAAAGTTTAATTTGATGAATCAGTTTTTTTTATATAATATTTAATGTTTGTTTGATATGATGACAAGGGCAAAATGTTCATTGGTTCGATATAAAAGTTAACATATCAATTTATTATTTTCATTTTAAAATATTTACAGCCATCGTAAATAACATATTTATATCACGTGACGATTAGACACCCCAGTTTGATTCACCTGCTGATTGAAAACCCTAATACTAACCTAACCTAACCCCTCCCCTGGTAATGTTCAGGTGAAATATAAACTGGGGTAGTTAATCCTTACGTGATCAGTTTAATTTAGTATCTGTACCTTTGAGATTTCTGTCACCTATTGATGTTTTTATTCTTTTCAGTACCATTTGAAGCCCTCGGGTAGAGGCAACACACACACACACACATACAAGCATCTTAATCACTCTTACACCAAGAGATACGAACGGCACAGATGGCGACTCACTACGGCATCGCTGCACTGCCTCTCGTTTCATTCAACTCCTGATTAGGTTTTGTAAGCTTGGTTGAGGAAGACAGTAATCATGGCCTCACTATAAAATGATTGAAGTTTATGTCACTACCCTTGAACCTAACTTAACCTTACTGTGGCAACTTTCGACAAAATGATTGAAGTTTATGCCACTACCCTTGAACCTAACCTTACTATGGCAACTCACTGGTGGTACAGCGGTAACTCTCACCAATATGTCAAGGGTTCGAGCCTCGGCCCGGACACACGTGAGAAGGGTGTTGTGACCACTACCAAACACCACAGGTTTACCAGTATCCTCCTGTACTAACACTGGGTGGACCGCCCTAATGGCTACTAAGGTGATAAGTGGCCAATATGATACAAAAAAAGATTGAAGTTTGTGGCTCTGTAAATCCTTAGTGACAAATTTGATAACACTGTTTCAGAAAGACAATTTCCCCTTGAACCTAATCTAACCTTCACTCATCCTCCGACCAACTTTAGAAACCTTAAACAAACTTGTTAATCCTGATAATAATAGCTGACCACTTATTAACCTTACCTAACGACTCACTGGCTTGTAAATATGAAAAATACAAAACCCAGCAACTCACTACGGTATTGACAAAAATATGTGCCACTCAGTCCTCGGAAAAATTTAGGTGTATGTGATATACTGTATATATTTAATGCTGTGATTACGAAGACACAAACATTATTCTGTTCTCGGTTTTAATTATGTTTGTCTATACATTTCATTATCATTTTACTGGAATATTGTCGAGTTTATTCAATATTAATTTGTATATAGAATTCCTCTTTTTTTATCTAGTACCATTTTCTTTTATCACTCTTTTATAATAGCTTTAAATAGTTACCGATCAATTATTTTATTGTGCTAGCAGTTCTATTGATGACCTTTTTACTAACTGACTGACTGACTGACTCACTGACAGAAATTTTTGTTTACTCTGTGATGGGGATAAAATATAAGGTAACTGATGCTATATTTGCTAGGGAGACGCGTTTTATTTTACCTGTAGTGTCTCCGTGAGCGAGTAGATGGCTGACGGATAAAACGTATTTCAATGTTGGTTGGAGCGGATAAAATACTCATAATGTATACATAATCTATCCTTGTGTGTATTTTTAACCCACTTTCATTATTTTGTATAGACTGGAAGCTCTAATATCCAGCAAATGATAAACTGGATACAAAAAATACAGGTCAGTTTTTTATTCGAGAACTCTTAGGTTATGATCAAACTTTATTTCTACCAAGACTTTAAGTTCCTGTTTATTGCATGTCCTAAAATATACAGTCATTATTTAAGGTTCTTGAATACATAAATAACCCTGTATCAATATTCAATGTTCCCAGATACTAATTCAATACTGTATTAAGGAAGTGTAAACTAAGGTAACTGTACTATGAATGACTATGGTTAAGCATGACTGTTTATTTTAATGATAAATGGACCTTGCAGTCCTTGTCCTTTGTTTTAATCTATATATAATGTAAATATAGATGTGCAACCTGTGGTGTAATGGTCAGCATGCTCGCCTCACAAGTGAGCGGGCCCAGGTTCGATCCCCAGGCAGGGTTAAACTATGGGCAGGTTTCTTTATGTCATTTGCCTCTGTCTACCCAGCAGTAATTGGGGACCTGGATGTTAATCGATTTGCGGATCGTGTTCCGGGGTAATGGTTAACCAGTGCAGTTGGCGAGTTGTCCGGTCATTTCGGACAGTGAGTCATGCAACTCCTTAACTTAGGGTGTGGTTGTTGTCTTGGCAACAGCTTCTACACCTTAAACAAGTTCATGCCTAGGTGGCCCTAGGGCCGGCCATCCTTGTTACACGAGGGGCAACCATTATTAAATAATGTAAATATCAACGTATGTAAATATGTAATAATATATTTTATGAAGAAAATAAGTTTATAATATTAACAAGGTGTCTTAATCAATCACTTCAATATAACAGTAGTAAATTTCACTAACTAACTGGCACTTTTTGAGAATCTAACAAGGCTTCCAGATATCACTAAGTGGATAAACACCCTCATGAACGTTCCTGCCATACCCATAATAACACCACTTAACCCAACTAAAAAACACCATGTATTTTCTCGTCCAATCAAAAAAACATAATTTAAAATCGATTTTAATGGATTGTCTCAGAAGGGGACAAAAGCCTCAAGACCAGACCAAAAATTAGGTCAGGTAAAGTAAGCCCAACTGCATATTGTTTTAGAATATTTTGTCTTACATATTTTAAAAGGGAATAAATGGATCTACACTGATGATATTTTCAAGAGCCAAAGTATTGATATTTCCTCTTGGTAGTGAGGGAGGAGGGCCGTGTGGGGTAGAAAGTAAGGGCTGGGTGGGGAAAATATCCAAAAATGTATTAAGAAAATTCCCCTCCACATAAATTTCTCTCATGTACTTAAGGGAAAATATTCTCTGATTTCCCCAAGACAATTTCTATAATAAAATTCTATGTAAATATTTTGAGTATTACTTATTCCTCTCCTCACTAATACTATACAGTCAACTCTCGCTTTACGCGGTCCCACATTCCGCGTTTCCACGTTTACACTGTACCCTGCCGAAACCGGAATGCTCACATTCCGCGGTGCGTGTACCCCTTTACGCGGAGAGCTGCTGGCGAGCCGCGCCATTTTTGGATCCAAACCTCCCGCCATCTGCCATGTTGTGTAAGCGGCGCGAGCAGGGTGCGCACAAGGTCGCCCAGTCATCAAAACATTACCGAGTTCCTCACCCGCCACCCACCACAGCCGGCCCAAGTCAGTGATAGTGAGGATATGGACTTTGAGGGGTTTGACAAAGAGGCCCTGCAAGCCTCTGTGGTGGATAGTGATACAATTGATACAGGTGAGGGCCAATAATCTGCCCTCTGCCTCGGAACCAACCCCCCATCCCCGTGTGCCCAGCCATCTTTTCTACTAATGTAAGTGTTAAAAAACCTAATATTATTGATATTTCTCTTAATTATTAATTGTGTGTGCATACCATCATAAAGTTAAGATAAAATTTTTACTACAACATAGTTGTGTGTCGTCAAAAAGTGGAGTTTGGGGGTCGGCCCGGTCTCTATTTCAATTAATCCCATATGTTATGTTGTTCACTTTCCGCGGTACCCTGTGGATTGAATTAACTGCGTAAAGTGAGGGTTGACTGTACACTGGGGTATGTTAATAGTTTAATAAATAGATACTAATAACTAATATAATATACTATTAACCACAAGACCAGGACAACCAACCCTTTTCAATCACTCTTTTCTTACCCTTATAACAATAACCCAAACACATTCCAACACCCAAATGATTAATCTAATATTGTTTTGACCTCTGCTCTTTTGTTTCCTTGGTAATGATTCCAAATACTAGATAGAGTTACAGAATCAACGTCTATAGTTCACCCAAATGACCATCTCTGGGACCCAAACACTAACAATAATTTGAATATATAAAACAATAATAAATCTTTTATCTTGGTTTTATTTTGCCAACTATTAAATAAAAATAAAAATAAAACATTAAAGGGTATTATTTGTACCTGTATTTGTCAATTCATTATAACACTTTGGAAAAATGTGTACTTACAAATGCTACTATGGTACAGCTAATCTGCTACCCTGTTGAGAGAAGAACTAATTAACTAACTACAGTAAAACACATCATACGAGCTATATTAATCATCGGTATATAAATTAGTCATTATACACATCATACATATCAACAGGTATTAGTCTACAAAATAACTACAGCTTCTGCCATACATGATGACTTCAAATACATCTACAGTAGTTAGTTATAAGGAGGATAATTATATACACAATAACAGGTTTAAGTTGGTATTAACTACAATTTCTGCCAACTTGACTTAAAATACTGGTGGATTAATAGTTAGTTATTATATATACACAGAGCAACAGGCCTAAGTCAGTGGATATTACAGATTCTTGCCGCCACAACTATTAATGTGAACAGAGGAGCAAGAACGTGTGATGGGGGGGGGGAGAATGCTTAACCTCTTGAGTGTGATGATTTAAACCCTTGAGTGTGATGACTTAACCCCTTTAGTGTGATGATTTAACCCTTGAGTGTGATGACTTAACCCCTTGAGTGTGATGATTTAAACCCTTTAGTGTGATGATTTAACCCCTTGAGTGTGATGAATTAACCTCTTGAGTGTGACGATTTAACCCCTTGAGTGTGACGAATTAACCTCTTGAGTCCCTTGAGTATGATGACTTAACCCCTCGAGTACAATATCATATCTCTCAAGTATTAACTGATCTTCCGCAAGGGTTAGATTACACCACAGGGTTAAATCATAGCACTGAAGGGGTCAAGATGCCTAGCCCTGTTGGAGGAAATAACTGCTGAGAATTACAGTCATAAGAGAGTGGACCTTTAGTACAGTCAATCAGGGGAGTGGACCTATAGTACAGTCAGTCCGGAGAGTGGACCTATAGTACAGTCAGTCAATCAGTCACCCACAAGTCCTGTCATCTCTACTCTTGAACCACAAACCCCGAGATTCAGATTCATACGAAGCAGTAGACGTCCATGCATTATTCTACCCATAAATGCTTCGGATTCACGAGTCTGAATCTTGGGGGTTCGTGGTTCAGGAGGAGAGGTGACAGATGCTTCCTAGGTGGCTGTACATCTTCCTCTGTTCCGACGCCTGTGTTTAAATTACTTACGTCTAATATAAATTAGCTCTTTTTTCCTGTTATAGTACTGCACAAGACAACACATATATAATAAATATAATATTTTCTTAACAATGGTAAGTACAAATTTGGCACAATTTTTTCTACTGAACCCAATACTGTATATACTGTTTCCTGTGTTTCCCAGATGACACCAATTAATACCATTACACAAAGCTGTGATATAGTTAACTAGGACTAATTACCTCCATCAAACAATCAAAATCCTTAAGTAATTTGCCATTAAATGTTCCTAAAATGTAAGTAATTATCAATATATAAATTACTTTCCTCTTTAAATTTAACATTAATATCATCTAGTCACTTCAAAGACATTTTCATAACCTGTGTTTATTTTAACCTTATATTCACTCACCTCGAATCTAACAAATATTCTCATAATCTTCCTAAAACCCCAGACAGAATATTACTCCACATCAAATAGTTATGGAATGTTTTCTTGTCTAATACTAAAATATCAATTGGAATATCTTCTCTTGAATACAGATACCATGTGTAGTGTACTCCTCATGTTGGCTTATACATCAATCATATCAAGGTGAAGTGATACATGAATAATGTTTACATCAGGTGCTGAGATTGGTCGAGTCTTACATCAGGCGTTGAGATTGGTCGAGTCTTACATCAGGTGTTGCGATTGGTCGAGTCAAACCAAGAGTCTCTCACACCTGGAGAATGAGGCACTCCAGGTGAGAACATGACGAGAGGAATGACATAAACGTTGCATTGAATGTAGACGTCTTTCCTCCACTCTCAGATAAGCGATGAGGAATATTAATAATAGATAAACCTCACAAAAGAACAACAGGAGAGATATTAACCAGATCAAATACTGTATAGGATTCTCATTCATGTAATAGAAGTAAGGGCTACTCACACACAGACAGGAAGAAAAAATCTACATTGGGTCGACGTAGTGAGTAATCAAGAAAGGTGTGTACCATGATATATGCTGTGATTCCTCAGTCCTAAGGAGAGTGACTGGCAGACTGAGTGACAATTTAGACAGTCGGGTCAAACAGCAGTCACAAAACACAGTCGGCATAGTAAAATAAATATTGTTTTAAGTGGAGATAAATTAACAGGTGCACTAATAAAATAAACAAGTGAACTATCTAGCATAATTAACAAGTGAGTTATGAAACAAAAATTAACAAATGCAGGATTACTGAGCAATATATGATCGTAGTAAATGCACTGATTTATCCATAATATATCAAGAGCCCCAGTAGATCCAGGTTCTGTACTGGAGATGTGGATAACTTTCCCTCATGGCGATGATATTGGACATACTATACAGAGGTGTCATATACATCTGACATTCACAACGGCTTAAGTCACATAATGCCATAATGACTTCAAGAAATACGTCATTTAAGCGGAAAATCATTTATATTTTAACCACTTCACTATCGAGACGCTACTTTTAATGTTTTCTTTGGCTAACACCGGACGATTTTATTCAGTAGAGAGAGGACCCAATACACATAGGGTTAAGTGAACTCAACATCACATAACCCACACTGTTATGAAGCAAGGTGTACCGTACCCAGAATCACCGCAATGGAGGAAAGTCATAAACACACGGAGAACTAAAGTGGCCGTGATTTGGCAAAGTCATGGAGGGAAAAATACTGACGATTGAACACACTTGAGGCTCCCGTATAAGGCAGCATTGTGGCAAAGCTCGAGACTATAGCTTAGTTTGATCTAGTGGCGTTACACACAGACACACATCCTTACACGCACATACATACACATCCCTACACACCCCCAACCCCACACAAACTCCACATCCCTCCATACACACTCCCTACAAACACACAAACCCCACATCCCAAACACACACACACAATAAGACCCCATGGCAAAGTGTGCGAAAGTAACAAGTGCAATAAATCCATGGACCTCGCACCACCCCCAACAGCATGGGGTGACATAGTTCCCCCACCTGAGAGGATCCTAACATAAATGCAGTTGTCATGAATGTATATTGAGCGATACGGCACTAAATTACGACCAAAATAAGCGTCACGGTGTAGCACGAGAGAGCAAAGATAAACCTGAGTGACTTTCTTGACCTCAGTCTCCATTTACTATTGTTTTGAAATGTAAATACTGTAGATCACCTGAAGATTAGCCACCCCAGTCTATTTCACTAGGGGATTAATCACCCATAATGCTATCTGTGGGTTAGATTAGGTCAATGTAAGGGTGATTAATCTTCAGGTGAAATAAACTAGGGTGTGGAATTTTTATATGGTCTAATTAAACAACTGTTGAAACATTAATGAGATTCGATAAATATCAAGTGTTTTTTCTCCCCCACGTTCATCAACTTGAGGTGTAACCGTCACAAACCTAACCTAACCCAACTAGTTTGAGTCCATCACCTGAAACAGAATCCAGGCAACAAGAGTCCATAGATATTTTGACAGAACACAAAAATGAATGATTAATTATCTGCTTAAAACTTGTACAAATCTTAAAAACAAAATCCCCACTGCACTGATAACATATTGCAGACAGGGGACCCCGATACACAAGGGGTTAAGTATTAATACCAATGTGACAATGTATGGCACAACTTACTCAAACTGTGCAACATAACTTTGATCTGTCAGGAGAATCCATCCAGTACAGTACATAATTCTTACACGATCACATGAAAATTAGGCACCCCAGTTTATATCACCTGATGGGTCGTGTTAGGTGAGTATTAAAGGTGTTTAATCATCAGGTGAAATAGGCTAGGGTGGCTAATCTTCATGTGGTCCTTTTTACATAATAGTTATCTATATATTTTTATAAACATTGTTAGTTCACTGAGACTACAACTCATGGTGCAAATTACATCTGTTTTAACATTACAGAAACTCTCTAAATACCAACAATGTTAGTTACAATACATCTTCTACAACTCAAGATACACAACAAATCTTCATAACATTGTAAATAATCTACAACTCATAACAAAAAAATAGTGTTAGTTTTAATGCAAATATAATTCAGGTGCAAAATACATTAACAAATTTTACATTACAAAGTCCACAATTTTTACCACTACAGTACAGTGTTACCACCAACTAAAAGTACACCTCAAAGTGCTATATGAACAGAAACAATTTTAAGTACTTTGGCACAAACCTCCACAGTGGCAGACCTATAAGCTATATTTCTAAATAATATATAAAATTTAAAATTACATTTGTATAATAATTTAACTGAAAATCTCGTAGCAATAGTGAGTTTCAAGATGAGACGTGCGATTTCAATAACATGAATTTGGTATTAATGTAAACCAAGACTGTTCTTACAGGTAATCGCATACCTTACATTGTCCCCCATCCCCTCAATCCCTAGGTCACAGTGAGCCTGGAACTATCCAAACATCATAAGCACTTTCGGACACTCTTCAATATTACCAAGCTTTAATTGCCTCCTACATATCCGAACCCAATTGGTCATTGCAATCTCGAGTTATTGACGTGACGGAGTGTTGTTTTTGATGTCTCGCACCATAAGTCACGTTCAGCTTGGGTTGACACACACACACAGACACATATTCACACACGCTCACACACACTTTTTCACATATGCTTGGACACATACACCCAAACATGCTCAAAACACACGCACTCACACATTCACACTTGCATGAACACACACACAAGCAATCGGACATCACCTAAACACCTCCAACCTAAACTAACTCGCACCATCACAAAATAGACACAACAGTACGACGAACCTAAATGAATTCACCGAGATAAAATGTCCCTGAGTTTACACAAAGATGCCATACCTCAATTACGGGCAAACAAATACCTTGGTTGCCATTATAAGCCGGTAAACAGCTGGCAATAAAGACGACAGATGAGAGAACTTGCTGAACTATAATTCAAACGTGAAACTTTAATTGCACTTTTAAATGATTTTCGCTTTTTGTTTTTGCCCTGAGTGACTTACACGAGTAGATGCAAAACCATGACCAAATTCAAGAGCAAAATATCAGAAACGGGGAATTTATCAAAACGTTCAAAATATATGATAATAAATACTCCATCAAGTGAGTCTATGTGAGCCTCAAGTGTTCAAGACCTCCCTGTCTTAAACCAGTGGTACCTTGTCACTGTACTATACACACCACTCTACCTAAACCAGTGGTACCTTGTCACCCTCACTGTACTATACACACCACTCTGCCTAAACCAGTGGTACCTTGTCACCCTCACTGTACTATACACACCACTCTGCCTAAACCAGTGGTACCTTGTCATCCTCACTGTACCAGAGAAATCACATACACACACACACACACATATATATATATATAAACTAAATGCTAGAGTTCATTTCCATTATCAGATCCTCATGATGGAACGCCCAGCTGGCTGTATAAATGTCTGCTCATCAGGTATTTGGTATTCTGCATTTGTTATGAATCTCAGAAGTTGTTTTAATTAACTCAATAACTCATGTAATATTTTCCCCGAAGCATATAATAAATAAGGTCAATCTTTAAAATTACTACAGTGCCAAATCTGAGAATATCAAAATCGATGCCATCGTCTATAAATAGTAAAATCCAGTTCCTTCTTTACAATACAATAATTCAAAGCACAATACCTTACTTATAGAAAGCCAAAGTCAGTACTGGTAACCGAGTCCGAGTGTTTATTATTATCAAAGTTGCGCTTCTCAGCCGCCAAGTTCACCTCCACCAATGTGTCGATGCTGTTCACACTCGCCCCACACAGTATCTTCTGGGCCGCCAAGGAGCTGAAATTAAGATTCAACTCTGAGAGGCTCGGATACGTACTTACCGACAAGCCCCCCGTGTCTGGGCTGCTGCCGGGTTTGTCTGGGTCCTTCACGCTGCTGTTTGGACTCGTATCACCGACGTCTTTCGTGACAGTTTTCTCGTTTTCTAAAGGTATAATACTGGTAACATTCTGCACATCAGTACCCGGCGACGACTTCTTCTTGGGCGACCGAGGATGTTGCTGCTGTTTGGTGTTGGACGTTACGTGTGACTGCTGCCCTTGACTCACCGACTGCTGTTGCACTTGGTCCAGTGTTTGGCTACACATCTGTTTATGACACTTGTCCACTTCTTGATAGCCCAAGTTACGTGAGGTGAGGTCTTGACACGACCCTTTTACGTGCGTCAATTCACCGTCGCCGTGTAACAGATTATTCTTGAGGACTTCCGGACGCTGAGGTGACGACACGACTTTCCGCGAGTTGTTCATGTTGGTGACGGCTAAGTCGAGCTGGAGTGATAGCCGGTTGTAGCGTCCACCACCCTCACTCTTCACCGACCCATCTTTCTCGTGCTGTTGACAATTTTCATTCCACTTCTCATCCTTGTTGTCGGGCTTATTACCTCCTTGTGAGATTTCAAACTGTTTTTCTTTCTCTCCCTCTTTCATATCGAGCATTTTCTTATTCTTCTCGTCTTTACTCTCACATGAAGTATATTTATTATATTTCAATTGATTCTTCTGCGTTATCTCCTCTACATTAACTCTCCCTATCATCACATCCTTACTGTCATGTCTTCCATCTTTGCTCTCCCTCTTCTCTCTATCTCTTTTGTGGTTTCTATGATTACTCTCTTGTTGCTTCTGATTCTTTCCTTTCAAACAATGATGCGACTTGTGCCTGTGGGGTTGGGATGATGGCGGCGTCTCTCCGGGCCCGGGAGTGTGTTCACCCTGCGCCCTCTTCTCCGTGTTTTCTCCCGACCCCTTGACTAAATCCTCTCTTGATTTCGTCGGTTCTTCCCCCGATGTTTTGATGTACGTCTCCCCTAACGACTCTACGCGTTCCTCTTCCGGCGTCCTACACGGATGAGTCGACTGTTTCCTCGTCGCGTGCGCTGGGAGTTTGTTCGCACTCGTCCGGGATTCTGCGTGGTGAGTCGGGTGTTCCAGGGTTTGTTTCTTCGTCGTCTCCCGGTTGTCTAGGGTTTGCCGGCTGGGTGAGGATTCTATTAGCTGATCACTGTGATTTTTCTTCTTTTCGTAATTTTGGTGAACCGGTGATCGGTGTTTGTGATTTTCAATATTTTGGTGAACGGGTGATCGGTGTTTGTGATTTTCATAATTTTGGTGAACTGGTGATCGGTGTTTGTGATTTTCATAATTTTGGCGTACTGGTGATCGATGTCTGTGATTTCTGCAGCTTATGACAGGTTCCCCACAACGATGTAGGGGTGAGGACTCAAGCACAAGTCTGTCCAAACCTTCCTTAGCAGACATCTGGGTATAATACAATGGTGATGCCTGAGAATGAACGTAAGAATGATAGGGAGAGAGTGAACCTTGAATCTGAACACACGATGAATGCAGATGAGCCGGAGAAGACGAGTCTGATCTCTGTGATGGAGGGGGCGTGGCAGATTGGGGTCGTCTAAGTCGCCGTGGTAGAGTAGCAGACCGTGGCGTCCACTGAGACGTAGAGCACCACCACGACTCCTTGTCCTCCTGTTGAGAGTAATATAAACTTTACCCTCACGGTGTTTTAGATATCAAATATGTTAAAGTAATCACACCTGAGTAGTCCCTCCATACACAAGTACAGCCCACTCGCAGCCCTCATGTAACAGGAGTCAATAAATACAACAGTGACATCAAAGTATACAAAACAGTCTGAGCCTTGACTTGGATATCAGGTTGGATTGGGTTACAGTACTTAACCAAATATATAAGCTAATTCTCCACCTCTGATCATAGGGTTCTAGCTAATTATCCAGGTACAGGACCCAATGATCACCTGAGGTTTACCCCCCCCCTCTAAGCTTATTTCACCTGATGATTAAGCACCCTAATAACACCTGTGGGGATAGGTTCTATTAAGATACTTTTATACCTGTTTTAACCCACTACTTAATCTACAACAGTAACCACAGGACGAGCCACACACACACACACACACACACCTGCCTGCGTTGGGATAATGTCTGGACGGCAACACAGTGCACGTGGACGGCTGGGGCGGTGTCGTCACCCCACTCTGGCGGGGGAAACTGGGCAGAGAATGATCCCAGGCGCCGGCGAGGGGACACACGCAGTAATTTGCTCAGTACTGATCCTCGTTCACCTGCTGGGGAGTGAGGAGTATTTTATATCTCATAATGTACCATGAAGAATAAGAGAACACATGTATATTTAATTTAATAGCACGCACGCACGCACGCACGCACACGCACACACACACACACACACACACACACACACACACTGAAGTAAATAAAAAATAGAAAAAGACCAAATCAAATAGAGATTCACAAGGTGTCAGTTCCCTGTTGGTTATGAAGGGAGAGGTTTCCATTGTGCTGAAAATTACAGTACAGTATAATAGACAGGTTAAGACATAAGACACACCTTTCACTGTGATGTCAGACATATCATGTGCCTGGTAGGTGTTGCAGGCGTACGAGGAGACGCCCGATGACGAGTTACCAAAGGCAGTGGCCAACAGTGCAGCCTTGGTTGGGGAAAGCCTGAGGGACGACGTGCGGTTGTGAGTGCGGTGACTGGACAACACCCGTAGTGACGCCTGACGCTCCAACACAGCCGACCCTCCACTCCAAGACCCTGTGTGTACAAGGAATGTATTGAAATAGATTGCTGAAAAGTTACCAAGGCTCATCTGAAGACTAACCACCCCAGGTTATTTCAACTGAAGATTAACCACCTTAATGCTAACCTAACCTAACTCCAGGTAGTGTTAGGGTGTTTGATCATGAGGTATTATAACCCATGGCACTAATCTTCAGGTGATCCTAATGTCTCAATTCCTTTCCCGTCTTGAAAATGTTGTTATACTTGACCCTTTCATATATATATATCATGGCAGGAAGACTAACAACACAACAAAACCCAGCAGGTCCAAGATTCTCAGAGCCAAGTGCTGTAGTAACTCACCAGGTGGGGTTGGTGTTGGAATAATAACTTTATCACTGGGCTGTGCAGAACCAGTGATAAGTTCAGCCAAGTCAGTCTGGGCCGCAGAGTGACTCATGCCGCCGATGCACATGTGGTTGGCGCTATCAAGACATGCCAGAGGATGACGGGTGGACGGCGTGGCGAGGGACAGAGCAAATGACGTATCGGGGGACTTCTCCGGCACCGACGTGAGCTGGTACGTGTCGGGGTGAACTATGCCGTAGCTGTGGCCCGTGTAGTACACCTTACACTGACGGATCAGGTTGGACAGAACGGTGTGGACGTGAGCAGGGTCTGGAGCGTTAAGACTCGGGAAGGTAGTGGTAAGGGAAGCTTGGACGGTCTCTGCTTCAGCTCGCCCTCCATCCTTTGTAAGTCGGTATATCACCCAGCACAGGGCATCAGCTAATGGTGTAAACTGTCCCTGTGGCACCTTGACCACACTGCACCCAGATATCTCACCTGCAACACACACAAACATTACACAACACATACAGTACTTTATTTCATGACTCTAACCTCTCACCTGCAACACACACAAACATTACACAACACATACAGTACTTTATTTCATGTCTCTAACCTCTCACCTGCAACACACACAAACATTACACAACACATACAGTACTTTATTTCATGTCTCTAACATCTCACCTGCAACACACACAAACATTACACAACACATACAGTACTTTATTTCATGTCTCTAACTCTCACCTGCAACACACACAAACATTACACAACACATACAGTACTTTATTTCATGTCTCTAACCTCTCACCTGCAACACACACAAACATTACACAACACATACAGTACTTTATTTCATGTCTCTAACCTCTCACCTGCAACACACACAAACATTACACAACACATACAGTACTTTATTTCATGTCTCTAACCTCTCACCTGCAACACACACAAACATTACACAACACATACAGTACTTTATTTCATGTCTCTAACCTCTCACCTGCAACACACACAAACATTACACAACACATACAGTACTTTATTTCATGTCTCTAACCTCTCACCTGCAACACACACAAACATTACACAACACATACAGTACTTTATTTCATGTCTCTAACCTCTCACCTGCAACACACACAAACATTACACAACACATACAGTACTTTATTTCATGTCTCTAACCTCTCACCTGCAACACACACAAACATTACACAACACATACAGTACTTTATTTCATGTCTCTAACCTCTCACCTGCAACACACACAAACATTACACAACACATACAGTACTTTATTTCATGTCTAACCTCTCACCTGCAACACACACAAACATTACACAACACATACAGTACTTTTATTTCATGTCTCTAACCTCTCTGCAACACACACAAACATTACACAACACATACAGTACTTTATTTCATGTCTCTAACCTCTCTGCAACACACACAAACATTACACAACACATGATGCTATATTTCATGTCTCTAACCTCTGCAACACACACAAACATTACACAACACATACAGTACTTTATTTCATGACTCTAACCTCTCACCTGCAACACACACAAACATTACATAACACATACAGTACTTTATTTCATGTCTCTAACCTCTCACCTGCAACACACACAACACATACAGTACTTTATTTCATGACTCTAACCTCTCACCTGCAACACACACAAACATTACATAACACATACAGTACTTTATTTCATGTCTCTAACCTCTCACCTGCAACACACACAACACATACAGTACTTTATTTCATGACTCTAACCTCTCACCTGCAACACACACAAACATTACATAACACATACAGTACTTTATTTCATGTCTCTAACCTCTCACCTGCAACACACACAACACATACAGTACTTTATTTCATGACTCTAACCTCTCACCTGCAACACACACAAACATTACATAACACATACAGTACTTTATTTCATGTCTCTAACCTCTCACCTGCAACACACACAACACATACAGTACTTTATTTCATGACTCTAACCTCTCACCTGCAACACACACAAACATTACATAACACATACAGTACTTTATTTCATGTCTCTAACCTCTCACCTGCAACACACACAACACATACAGTACTTTATTTCATGACTCTAACCTCTCACCTGCAACACACACAAACAACACACAAACATTACACAACACATACAGTACTTTATTTCATGTCTCTAACCTCTCACCTGCAACACACACAAACATTACACAACACATACAGTACTTTATTTCATGTCTCTAACCTCACCCAAAATGACAACGGCCTCACCACCATCACCAAGAGCTTTATCACAAGATTCATACATGGGCATTTATTCAGTAAAACCATTAAAGAAGTCTTCACTGATTCAGCATATACATACAGCACACAGACAATGCATGTATACAATAAACCTAGACAGTGCAGGAATACAAACAATATACCTAGAGAGTACATGTATACAAACACATCAAAAATATCACCCAAATAATAACAACAAATCACATTAGATCTGGAACTACATGGGATCAAAACTCACCCAGCATAGTTATGGTGAAACCCGTTGGGGCGGCGAGAAGAGCCCTAGACCAGGCGTGTGTTAGAGTGACCAACACGCTCGAACTCCCGCCCACCAGCAATACGTCACCTACCAAGTGACCCACGAATTCTGCCTCCTGTACTGCCATCAACAACTCCTTATCCCACACACACACGGAGTTAGCTGTCTGCCATGCCTGCCAATGTTGAGACAAGTTGTTATACCCTGTCTGCCTTGACTGCCAAAATTAACACAAAAATTTATACCTATCTGTCAATAAGTTACCAATACAATAAGTTACCAATACAACAAGTTACCAATACAATAAGTTACCAATATAATAAGTTACCAATACAATGAGTTACCACCACAAAAAGTTACCAATACAATAATTTAACCAATACAATAAGTTACCAATAGTATAAATGTTCCTTAAGTTTGTACTTACACTTCAAATGATTCTTCGAGCCAGATTAATGTCAAAAACTTTAAGATTGATGAATAGAATTGATTAATAAAACTCTATATGAACGTACAGGGTCATTATTTTTATTCAAGAGCCCTAATGAATACTGAACTATACTAGAGGTCAGGTTAGGATCAGACTTTATTCCTGCTGACTTTTAGGTCTCTGTTTATTGTATGTTCTAAATTATAAGAATTATTTAGATGAAGATTAGACACCCAGGTTATTTCATCTTAAAATTAACTGTCCTAATTCTAACCTGTCCTAATCCTAACCTAAGCTAATCCTAACCTAACCTAACTCCTTCCTCCCACAAGTAGCATAAGGGTGTTTATTCTTTAAGTGCTCATAATCACCAGAAAGAGGAGGTAGCCATCTTGGTAATTGGTGATGTGGTTGGTGGCTGAGGGCGTGGCCAGGTTCGAGGTGGGTAAGGAGGCGGGTGACGGGCCGTTGGTGGGCGTGTCGCTGCCGGTGGAGGATGAAGTGGGCGTGGTAATGCCTCCTGGTCTGGGCTCCGTCGCGTTCCTGACATCGTGAACCGAGGTCGGGCGTGTGGGAGTGCAGGTGTGGGGTGGTCGTGAGGGAGTGCAGGCGTGGTGGGTGTGGTGTGGTCGTGTGGGTGGAGGGTGTTCCCTCACTAGCTTGATGGCCAAGCAGCGCTGGTGCAGCAAAACACTCTCCCCCATCTGCATAAACACACCACAGTTAGAAGCTGTAAATCAATAGCTTGTCCACATGGTTAGTGACCTGGGTAGAGCCTATCTTAGTACTGTGTAACCTTTCTTACTGTCTGTATACCCAATTTATGTACTGTACATTGTTTGTATATCTACACTATACCTGCATTAACTAAGGTCAATTTGTAGTTTCGACCAACCACATTATTATTTTATAAAAAAAATGGCATCCGATTTTTTAGACAATTTTAAGACACTTTTCTTCTTTGACGTTTCCTTCCCAAACGACCTAAAATTACCTAACCTAACCTCTTAACTGGGGGCTCTGCGCCCATGGATCCCCCGGTATATTTAAGTCCTTTGAGAGAGAAACGTCGTAGAAGAGGTGTCTTAAAATTGTCTATACCATAAGATGGAGTATTTTTCATCAACAAATTCTGCAGTTGGTCGTTACTATAAATTATCCCTATCTATATACTGTACAGACACTGTTTCAAATGTACTGTACATAGATACTAGTAATTTGTTAATGCTAACCTAACCCTTACTTAACCTAACTTAACCAAAGCTAACCTTAACCTTATCTAAGCTGACCTTCCACTAACTGCTCAAAGTATCATCAGTAGGGAGCTTAATCTTCTGGTGAGACATGCTAACTGATACCTGATATAACTAGCAAAAACAAAAGGTTAGCCTCAGCTTATTTCACCTGAAGATTAGCCTCAGCTTATTGCACCTGAAGATTAGCCCCAGCTTATTTCACCTGAAGATTAGCCCCAGCTTATTTTACCTGAAGATTAGCCTCAGCTTATTTCACCTGAAGACTAACCTCAGCTTATTTCACCTGAAGATTAACCTCAGCTTATTTCACCTGAAGATTAACCATCCTTATTAACCTAACATAACATCCCCCACAAGTAGTAGTAGGCTGATATAATATACACTATTCCTCGTTTAAATATAATATAATATATATATATATACTGTATATATACCTCAATCTTTTACATTTTTTGAGGGTAAAAAAGAAAGATCGAGATAAATATAAAGAGTGTGAGAGAGAGCAGCAACACACATGAGCTTTAGGGAGGGGCGGGGGGAGAGGTGAGGGGGGAGCCGCCCACTACCTACGCCCTGTCAACACACCTCAGTGATATACACGAGTGAGAGACAGCTCTATCTTTCTCTACTTCACTCTCACTCTCAATCTACTGCATGATTGACACACATACAGACAAGACACACACACACACGGAGACTAAACCTAAAACTCACCTCACTACTGTTAATTCATCTTTCCTCAACACGTTATTTCTTCCTCATCTTATGGGTTTGTTATTCTATTAATCATCTTTCCTTTCCCTTCACATGGTCTCTTTTAACACTAACTGTTAGATGGGCGCTTATTCGGTAGCTATTTCTATATGAATACGTAATTTTTGTCACGAAATGATGAGGTTGAAGAGTAACATCCACCACGTCTCATGGTTAGTGTACAACTGAGTCCTAGCTAGTGTTTTGGCCTGGGAATATGGAAAAGTTATCATACCGCAACAATAACACCTAAAAGTAATTATATTCAGACTTTTCATTTGTTGGTTGGTACTTATCACTTACTAGTATTATGCATTGTGTGTTTATGCTTTGTAATTGTTGTGGTAATAGAGACACTGACCGGAATATTTGATCAAACAAAACTAATTGTCGTACACGTGTTTTGGCGCACCTCCATTGATCTACGGCACCACCATCATCACAGATCCTGTACATTTCTCCTTAAAATTCACATTTCTGTGGCACCAAAGCTTAGATATATATTATTACCATAAATTCAGATATGTATAAGATTTTGAAACACCTATCAATACTTTATGGGATAATTCACTGTGTAATCCGAGGATGGTGACATTTGATCGTCCATCTGGCACCGTGGTTGCAGAGCCGCAGGGCCGCCTCGAGGGAACAGAGATGGCTGGGTCATGCGCCACGAACTGACACAAAAAAAATACAAATTATCTCCCAAACTATGCACTTACTAGATTCATCAGTATGCAAGACATGGTGGAATACAGCTGCTTTATCTCCCGAGGTGAGTGTATCGTTCTCTCAGTCTCGCATTATCCAGAAATGAGAAATGCAGATGAATTTTCCCATGAGCTCCAACGCCCATCTGATGGCAATATTAGAAACACGTCTGAGTGATGGAATTCCCTCTTATCGTCTTATCCAAACGAGCCAATATTCTTTCCCAAGACGTGAAGATAAAGTAACATTTCATTCATAGCAGTTACAATCACTTCTGTCATACCAAGAGAGAAAAACACAAAATTTTGCTACACGCTACAATCTGAGGCCCAAATTCTGCATGAGTTTTACATTAATCAGCAGTGTTGAGACGTGACATGTTGATACTTCCCACATCAAAAAGGTTTAATTCACCATGTCAATTATACTGAAGCAGCGGTAATGGTAAAACAGATCAACGATTTCTTTCTGAATGGCCAAACTACCATTAAGTAGTTAGCGTCCAAAGTTTACAGTTGTGAGGAACTACGTGAATTATAAACCGATAACTTTAAACAAACAACCTTAGCCTAACATAATATTAACCAGAAATAACATAACCTGAAATAATATTAACCCTAGACAATATTAACCTTGGCCTAACATAACCTTAACAACTTTAAATCAGTTACTTGAGGTAACTACAGGCATTGGCGTATCTGGAAAGGAGAGGCCCCCCCAAGACTTGAAGGTAGGGCCATTATTTTATTTCCATTCAGTGGTGTCAGAAGGGGTGAGCACAGTGATCCCATTCAGCAGGGGGGACATGTTTAGGCCACCTGCAATGAATAGTCGGACATGGCAGGACCAGCACACACGTACAGTACCATTATCTACACTTTATATAGTGCCATCCGGTGAGAGGAAGCTTAAGTGTAATTTACCTCTGCACTGTGCAGAAATATTGGTAAATTTGCATAAGCGCACCACTGTTAAAAAGTAAAAAATGTGTTTTTCTAGTGTATGTGTGTATGTTTAAACCGAATGACCTTCATTTCCGTCGGAAATTGGCGGGGTTTTTTTATCGAATTTTTTCGTGGAACGTTTACCGAAAAAAAAATGGCTAAGCGAATAAAAAATACACCAAAAACACTAGAAAAACAAAAACCTAACCTAACCTGACTGACTCTCACCATATGATGGAATCACTTATTTCTCACCTTATTGGCCGTCTCTTCCTTGTCTTTGGTATAAGGGACGAGTTACCACAATGCCACATATGTTGGTCTTGACAATATTTACCTTCAGTCTTACACTAGTACACTTTACTGAGGTCGGGAGAACACCATGAGATCTAAAAAATGCTATAGTTTCTTCGTTTTTTCCCCAAACTCTCAATCAGCTCCATATAACTGAAGTGACGCCCATCACAGACTTCCATGGTCGGAAATGAATTTGCATTTCGAAATATGAGACACAAAATAAAAACAGAATTTGATTGAGCCAAAAATACCGCTCTTGGTTGGCCATGACGTGTATGGGAACGCATGCGCGTGATGATTCATGAAGGAGACACTGTCCACTTACGTTTCTGTCACTGCACTTGACGTTGTTTCTAGTGTGCACGACAGCCACTACTGTACTAGGTGGCTGGTCTTGAGCAAGTGCTGGCATAATCATTTTCATGTACAGGTTAATTATCATTGTTTAAATATAATGTTTAACTGCGCTTGATGATCAGGATCACGGCACACGGAGCACTGCACATTTGGGGAACACAGTGCCTGTAGACTTATTGTATACTCTACCAGTGACCTAACCTACCCAGAGACTTCACAAACCGCACCTGCTTCTCTGATCTCAGAAAAATGATCGCGTTAATCCCCTGACCCAACTTAACACTGCTTTACCTTGACGCAATCTTGATCCAGAAGGAGGGGGGGTTAAGTGTCCCCTTCCCCTAATAGTGACCAAAAGTAATGGTAACCTAACATAACCTTAACCTTAATAATAATAAGAATTAATAATAATGATTACAATAATAATATGTGGTAGGCAATCAAACCCGGAGGTACTACCGCCTGGGAAGCTATTGGAAGCATAATGTATTGTCTAATGGTGGACCCTGCTGCCATATGACACTACAAAAATTGTGACCAAGTCCTAGGTTGCTGATGTGACTTTCTGCCTCATTTACACACAATTGCAGGGTCTCAATTGTTTCTCTTCCTTGGACAACACAACATCATACTGTATATTGTTTCTCACCCATGATTTATTCTTTTTCATTTGTGATTATTATTATTTGTATTATTATTATTATATTTATCTTTTTATTATTATTGTTATTATTATTATTATTATTATTATTATTATATTTTCACCACCCAGGCCCTAATGTGCGTCAGTGACCTGTGTCCGGGTAACAGCAAGAGGCTATCATTAAAAAATCGACCTATAACCCATCAATGGCGTAAATAATTAATATAATCTTTACTCTTAGTAGATTAAAATCGCCATAGGTATGTTAGGGAGTTAGTGAAGGTGACCCATTGAGTTACTGAGCCACTTGTAATGTATAAATAGCAAGGAAGGTGGCGGAGTGGGGCCCTTATGTAAAGCTACACTAAACCTGTATCGCCCAGCGGTGTAGAATTCCACTGACCTTGTCTTGCGTTCTCTCTCTCTCTCTCTTTTGTGACTGATCTATCTGTGTTTTTTTCTTTCAAGTAATTATCTGGCTATTCGTGTTACTGAGAGAGAGATACCCAGATATATAGATAGATAGTCAATGAAATCGTTACACATGTTTATACTGATCCTCTTCCAATGGTAAAATATTCCTTTACTTAATATATGACGGAAGTTCTGTTTATAGATCCATGAGCTAGGAAGCGTTATAAATAGGTAAATTGGGTGAGTATCTATTATTATCCTCGTTAAATCAACTTGTTAATCATTTTTGTTAATGACTTATGCAGGAGGATTTAAGTGTTATATAATAGCACCTGTGTTAATGAGTATATGCGTATTACCTTAGTTACTTTAATATTATCTATTAGAGTAAATGATATGTATTCATAAACTGGAGTTATCTGTTAATTACTCTTGTCTTATCAATACTTTTCTTACTATCAGTGACAGATGGTTTATTAAAAAAAAAAATCCTAAATTATTTTAAGAGTAACCGCCCAAACATGCAGGTAAGTCCCGGATGATATTAACCAATCAGAAATAAGTTTACAATTTCCATGGAGACTTTACCCAATCACAACACCCGTCTCATTGATAGAGCGATGACGTAGACCAATCAGAGAATTTGTTTTGGGTAGAGTGTTGAGCCTGAGCCATGGAGGAACATCACATATGAGGATGAGTCTCGTTTAGTGACGTTTATAAGACGCCATGGGGCTTATTATTTCCAGATTTCGTGTGAGTAGAACATAATTAACCGTAATTAATAACGTCATTAGGGAATAAACACCTATAAGAGGGTAATTATGGCTGTGGAAAGGCCCATATAGGCTGACAAGATCCCCGGGAGGAGCCCCCATCTGTTAACCACATCTAATTGTATTTAGTCGTTTATTTATCGAATTTCTTAACGATTACTAATTAACTGCTCGTTACCGTGTCTCCTGTTGTTAGTCAAGGTGTGGCATACCTCCCGGCGTTATTAGAATGTTACATAATACACTGTTACCATGTTTTATTTGTTGCTATGTTGCCTGTGGTTGCCTGAGGGTGTTATTGTGGTTACGTGTGTTACCTGGTGTTGCTGTGGTTACGAGTGTTACCTGGTGTCTTTTGTGTTACCAGTGAGACTGTTATTGTGTTACCTATGTGGACTTATTGTTACTTGCTGTTAACTGTGTGACTGTTACATTCAGTTACCTGTGACTTAATGATAATTTTTGTTACATTTGGGGTTTACCGTTACTTTTACCTGATGTTCACTGACTAAAACCTGTAAAAACTGTTGCATTGTTACTGTTAGTGCTACCTGTGTGACTTCAACCTTCAGTTAACTCATTTCCTGTTGACTTACTGTTATTTACTGTTACTTGTGAGACTGTTCCTGTCACCCAAGAATAACATCCAGTTAATTTATTTTCTGTTATTTACTGTTACTTGTGAGACTGTTCCTGTCACCCAAGAATAACATCCAGTTAATTTATTTTCTGAATGTCAAACCAAACACAAGATGACAGTTTTTTTGTTTGAACTGTGCTGAAGCTTAGACACACCCCAGCTTATTTCATATGCTGATTAAATACCCAAACTTAATCCTGATTTAATCCTAACCTCAACGTAACCTAACCTTATCCTAACCTAATCCTAACCTAACCTTAACGTAACCTAACCTTATCCTAACCTAATCCTAACTTAATCCTAACCTAATCCTAACCTAACCTTAACGTAACCTAACCTAATCCTAACCTAACCTTAACGTAACCTAATCTAATCCTAATCTAACCTTAACGTAACCTAACCTTATCCTAACCTAATCCTAACCTAACCTTAAAGTAACCTAACCTTATCCTAACCTACTCTTAACTTAATCCTAACTTAACATAACCCTAACCTAACCTAACCTATGACCCAACTGAGAACAAGTGCCTAGGAAGTTGATAGGTGATGATATGTTAAATAACCTAACCTAACCCCCAGGTAGCAATAGGATATTTAATCAACAGGTAAAATGAGTTGGGGTGCCTAATCTTCAGGTGATCCAGGAAACTTGCACTAGGATTGTATGGTTAGGTTAAGATTTTGTTTTAATCCCTCCCCCCTTGTTCCCCTTCCATCTTCTCCTCCCTCCCCCTTCCTTCCTCCTTCCTCCCCCCTTCCCACCTCTCCCTTTCCTTTCCCCTTCCCCTCCTTCCCCCCTCCTATCACTTTTCAACCATTAGTTATATTACATCATGTCTACCATACTATACCATAATATCTTAACTCCTTTATTTTTCCACTTTGCAGAGAAAAAAATCAACAAAGGAGTTACTTGAACAGATTCAGGAGGTAAGAACTGACTGTCATTTGTTTTTTACTATATTATTATCCCCGTGTGCGATGAAGGAATATAGTGGCTAGCATTTGTGTCCGTCTGTCATCAGGGGTTTGTGGAATGGCTGTTATCTGTTGTTGATTGTGTGGTGTAGAGTGTAAAAAAAAGAGGTAAAATATTGTAAAAAAGTGAAACAAAGTGTAATAAGAGGGTTAAAATTGTAAAAAAAAAAATATCCCAGTGTTAAAAATTGGTAAAAAGTAAATTAAATTGTAAAAAGGAGTAAAAAATTAATACAAAGTGTGAAAAAGACACCCTAAAAAACTATTAATGAACTCTCATCTTATAGTACAGTTTTTTATTTGTATTTTTATAATTGTTAACAGCCAAATGATATTATTAAACTGGTAAAGATACATAATACCCTAAAACCTGTGCTGAGAGTCTTAAAATGGATTGGATTTATTAGTATTGTCTACAACCTTGGATTATATATAGATAAATTTATATTAGCTATTACTTTATATCAAATAAATAAATTATCGTATTACACTAAATTATTCGTCAATGCCAAATGTACCCTAGGAAATATATAATCTATTTAATGAAAGATTTGAATATTCTAAATACTATATTAGGGAGATAGAGTCGCAGGTATTCCCCGGGTTACGAACGTCTGACTTACGAACATTCACAGATAACGAACGAGGAAAACTTTAAATTTCCAGTATTTAATTTACCTGATGACTTCTATTTTACTTTAATTAACTGTATTTTATTATTTTATTTCATCTTTTGTCTTAAATTAGATGATTTTAGATGTATATAAGGACTTAAGTTATGATATAGTGGGATTTTAAGAATTGTTCTGTAAATACGGTATGGATGTGTACATTTCCGCCTTAGGAACGTCCCCGGGAATGGAACTTGATCATAACCTTGGGACCGTCTTATTTTACTTTGATTTAATTATTCACATATATTACAGGAGAGTAAATGATGGAAACTTGGACAATGAGGCAACTGTGTGTGTGAGATTTTCAAAGCTTATTTGTAAAGTTTAGGTAGTTTTTAAAGCTTCTTTGTAAAGTTTAGGCAATTTTGAAAGATTATTTGTAAATCTCAGGTGTTTACAGTATATAAGGTCAGGTTAGGTTAGGATACAAACTACCCTGACAGCAGCAGTTAATCAGGTCACTCAAGCGCATGAAAGAGATCACACGTTCATAGTCGTTAACATTCGCATCGTTGCAGGATGTGGAGGCCATCGAGGAGTACCGGGAGACTACGGAGCAGAAGCAGAAGAGGCTGGTGGGGAGCCTCGTGCTATACTCTATCGTTATCTACCTGGCTGCCGCTCTCATCTTCTACTTCCACTACTTCCCCCTCACCCTACAGGACCAGTTGTTATACGCTACACCCTTCATCGTTTTCCCTTTCCTGTACGTATCGTCTGCCTCGTGTACAGTGGGTCCTTATGTTTGTACAGTGGGTCCTTATGTTTGTACAGTGGGTCCTTATGTTTGTACAGTGGGTCTTTGTTTATGTTTGTACAGTGGGCCCTCATTATTTACATTTGTACAGTGTTTGGTACGTATCATCTGAAGTTTGGACACCCCAGCTTATTTCACCTGAAGGTTAACTGCCTTCGTGCTACCTGGGAGGGTTAGGTTTGGTTAGTTTGAAGGTGGTTGATCCTTGGGGGAAATAAGCTTTGGTGTTTAATCTTCTGGTGGAATAAGCTTGGGTGTGTAATCTGGGGTGTCTCATCTTTTAGTGGTAATAAGCTGGGGTGTCACAGCTTCAGGTGATCCAAAATATGTCTTGTTTTATATTGATTGTATTTAATATTAAGATTCTTTTAGGAATTTCTTAAACATTCCAGGACTTTTATCTTACTTAGACTCATGTTTCAAAATTATCCAGATAGAAAATTTATTTGTAGTTTTTCTTCCAGGATTTACCTTCTCAAGAGACTTCTCACATGGTACTATCACCGAAAGATCTCCAAAAATGAGGAAAAGTTGAAGAATCTCCGGGAGGAAAAGGAGAAGATCTTGGAGCAGGTGATGGAGACGGAGACATACAAAGTGGCCAAAGAGATCCTGGAGGTATATGCACCAGACCAGCTGCGGAGAACTCAGGTGTGTGGGGGCATGTGTGTGTCTTCTGTAAATCTTTTTTGTCATGATTATATTCCAATTATTTACAAAATGCACAATGCAGTTTCCTAATGACAAATAAATACACGTCAAACGCTCCCTAACGACACATTATTTCCAGATGCACAAAGCGCCAGTACCCTTACCCTCCGTAGCCCAGAGAATTCCAGCTCCCAACAACCAGCACTCAGGTGAGCTAATGAGATGTGATTCAGGACTATTATTTTATTCGGGTTTGCATGTGTGTGTGAGACTGGTGGTGGTGGTTGTGTGAATACTGTATACCATAATATATTTCTCGTTTAGTGTGTTTGTGGAAGGTTTTGATTTGATTTGGGGGTTGCAGTTACCAGATTTATTAACTATTGTAGAAAAACATTTAGATAGTAAGAACAGGGAGGTAAATATTAAACTATATTTAGGAAGTTAATGTGAGAGTATGAAGGTGTCAGCCTAGGCCCTAGAGAGTGACTGTCTTGGGAAAAATAAAATGCATTATCACTATTACAGTAAAAGAACAGATAGATAGAAGGACTTGTACTCGTAGTGTAGCCATGTGCCATTAGTGTAGCCATGTGCCATTCCACTTCATCATGCTGAAAATTTCCCCCTAATTATATGTCTTTCCTGTAAATACCCCATGGCGTTTTCCTTCTAATGTCCGTAATTTGGCTTAACATGATTGCTATTGGCCACACATTCACCCAAGGAGGTTCTGAGCTGTGGACCTTCAACACATGTATAGGAACTCCTCTGACAGCAGTTCTAGCTATAACCTTGCCTAGTTATGTGTGTGTGTGGGAGGTAAAGGTCAAGGAGTGTTCAGAATCCAGATGCTCTTGATAGGAAGGAAAGTTCAAGTGAAATAAAAATGGTCTATAGATCCTTCCATGTTTTAACTAACAATGTTATAAGATGGTGAAGGGATGGTGATGATAAAAGTGTATTAGTTAGAGGAAAGAGAGAGAGAAGACAGTGAGGAGGGAGAGGTCATGGAGGAGACAATGTGCCTCACCTTGAACAATAGATGACATAACTAGAGATAAGATGTGAGACGAGGATGAATAATGAGATAGAGGAAATGAGAGTGAGAGTTGTGTATATAGCAGAGAGATACATGAGATAGACAGACTGGGTTATGAGATAGATGAAATGAGAGTGAGAGTTGTGTATATAGCAGAGAGATATATGAGATAGACAGACTGGGTTATGAGAGAGGAAATGAGTTTTTTACACAGGTATTAGCTCACCCGGACACAGTTCACTGACCCACATCGGGGCCTGGGGGGCGAAAATGTAATAATAATAATAATAATAATAATAATAATAATAATAAAAAAGAACCATAAAGAAATACAAAAATGAAAAAAAAAACAGTGAGAAACAATATATGTATGTTGTGTTGTCAATAGTAAGAGAAACAATTGAGACCCTGCAATTGTGTGTAAATGAGGCAGAAAGTCAGATCATCAACCTGGGACTTGGTCACATATGGCAGCAGGGTCTACCATTAGACAATACATTATGCTTCCAGTATCTTCCCAGGCGGTAGTACCTCCCTGTTTGATAGCTGCTTACTACCTACTACCTGTATATAGCAGAGAAATACTTTACATGAGATAGACAGACTGAGGTGGAGAGGAATCGTGAGTGAGAATCAATTGTTTGGGGAATGTTGAGCTGATTTATATCCCCTTGCTTCCTGGCTGGAGACTGCAACATACACTTACGTTTCTTGTCACCTGGTCAACTGTTGTTTAACTACGGGAAGTTATTCTTGATTGAAATGATTTTATTCCCAATGTTGTGGTGACTTTGTATGTACTGTTACAGGTGTGTGATTGTGAAGCCCCCGTATAGTGAACTTCTCTCTCCATATAATCTGTTAGATGGGGGGTTTAGCATCTAACGGACCCTCGATATAATGGACTTTCATCTCCATGTAGTCCGTTAAATTGAGGTTTCACATCTGACGGACCCTCGATATAATGGACTTTCATCTCCATGTAGTCCGTTAAATTGGGGTTTCACATCTGACGGACCCTCGATATAATGGACTTTCATCTCCATGTAGTCCGTTAAATTGAGGTTTCACATCTGACGGACCCTCGATATAACGAACTTTCCTCTCTATATAGTTCGTAAGATGGAGGTTTCACAATTGTTGTGTTTGTGTGTGTGCGTGCGTGTGTGTGTGTGTCGGTAAACTACGAGGTGACAATCCCTTACCCTGTTGATGACGGTAAACACTTAACTCCTTCAAGATGTTCGGAGACGGGTGGTGAGCTCATCGGCGACTCCCCAGGCCGGACCACAGGGGGCCATGGGTGTACGGCCAGTTGGTCCACAGGTATTACCGCCGCACCATACCCCGGCCTTCACCCCGAGGCCGCCGCTGTTGTCGCAGTCAACGCCGGCGAGACCAGGTGAGTCACTTGAGTACGATAGATGAGTCAGTGAGTACAATAGGTAAGTCGGTTGAGTACGATAGATGAGTCGGTTAAGTACGATAGGTGAGTCAGTTGAGTACAATAGGTGAGTCAGTTAAGTACGATAGATGAGTCAGTGAGTACAATAGGTGAGTCATTTAAGTACGGTAGATGAGTCAGTTAAGTATGGTAGATGAGTCATTGAGTACAATAGTTGAGTCATTACGTATAGTAGAAGAGTCACTAGGTACAACAGATGAGTCACTACGTACAATGGGTGAGTCACTGAGTACAATATGAGTCATTAAGTACAATATATGAGTCACTAAGAACAATGGGTGAGTCAATACAATAGTTTAGTCGCTAAGTACAAATATGAGTCACTTGAGTCCATCGAGCTCTTCTCACAATTCGTTAATGAGTCGATGGAATGATTCGTCTATGGATGAATGTTGAATGTTTCTATGTGGTGAATAATGATCAGTTGAAGACAGTAGTGTGTAGTACAAGCCAGGGGACAGTGCTGTTCTGGTCAGTGATGTCTGATGTGGGTGTTGAAGTGTGTGTGGTACTTTAGTTCAGGGTTGTGTGTGTGTGTGGGAGGTTGTGTGTGTGTGTGGGGAGGGTGTTTGTGTGGGGAGAGGGAGAGGAGGTTTGTGGGAGGGAGGGAGGGGTGTTTGTGTGAGGGAGGGAGGGTTGTGTGTGTGGGAGGGAGGTGTGTGTTTGTAATGTGTGTGTGGTTTGGTGTGTATGTGTGTGGTGTTTAGATATGTATGTATGTATGAATGTGTGTGTGTGTAGTTATGTGTATATGCATGTGTTAGCTAGTGAGTTGCATGTAGTAATGTTTTATTTCATTTTAACCAACATTATTATTATTTGCCACAGCAGACAACAACACCCAGAATGGCTCCTTACCCATAGACTCTGAGCTTCAAAGACTATACCGACCCAGAGTGACTCCTTACCCATAGACTCTGAGCTTCAAAGGCTATACCGACCCAGAATGACTCCTTACCCATAGACTCTGAGCTTCAAAGACTATACCTACCCATAGACTCTGAGCTTCAAAGACTATACCTACCCATAGACTCCTTACCCATAGACTCTGAGCTTCAAAGACTATACCTACCCAGAGTGACTCCTTACCCATAGACTCTGAGCTTCAAAGACTATACCTGCTTGACCCCATATATGCTTCTTATATTAATTATCCTCATTTCCTTGTGTTGTCCAGGCTATTGCAGTACCAGTTAATGACCCTCTGCAAACATCCTATGTTGGCTTTATATCAGTCTTCTCATTGTTAGTGGCTTAATTGCTCTTATGAATTGAGTTATTAGTTGTCAAATTACTGTGTCTTAGTATGTCATTATCTTGTGGTTTATATAGTCTTATGATAGTTTTGTTTGTTTTAATATATATTGAGAGTATTTAATTATTATTGTTTATATTTTTGGTTAGTATATAGTTTTATCTATACAGTTAGCCACTTGTTATATGAGAGGACTGATGATATTAATTTTGTTGCACCTACCGAGTGTATTTTTAACCCAAGTCTGAGCACGAGTGATAGTGAATGTTGTACAAGTGACGGTGAGTGGGATGATACAGTGAGTCACGACGCAGGTATAGTCGGTGTGGGCACCCTAAGATCCGCACCGGCAGTCATGATGGCTAGTGGTGGGCCTCAAGTCCTTCCCGGTCCTCCTACTACTGGCCCCTCTGCTGTTCCTGTCAGTCCAGTCCACTACGCCTCCACCCCAGCGCCTCTCACCCTTCTTGCTGCTGCTCCACGTAAGTCTCACATGTACAGTTGCCTACGCTTATACCTGGTACAGTGGCTGGCATGTTTTGTGAGATGTGGCAATTCTGTGTATGTTTATATGGTATTAAAACTCCCTGGATGGCTCTTAAGGAACCTCACAATAACAACCAGAATGCTTTGAAAAGAATTCCTTAGTTGCCACATCTCACAAAGTGCTCCAGTCACTGTGCCAGGTATTAGTACAGGTGAGTGAACCTTTACACACGCCCCGGTGAGGTTAGGGGATAAGGAATTTTAGCCACACTTACCTTTCAGAGAGAAGTTAATATTTATAATTCACAAGAACAGTTGGCCAGTGTACAGCACCACATGTAAGTACTGTATTGCTCATAATTTCCTTCAAAAGTCTAAATTGTAGTTTAATCTTCTATGCAATTATGAATGAGAAACATGTTATTTTACCTTTTGCAATTATGGTTTTTAATCTGTTGTATCTAGATGAACAGCAGGAGAAACACCTCCCTTATCTCTCACAAGACTTTACACACTCGTATGAGAAACTTGTCATAGCTGCGTACTTTGGTTATCTTCTCATAGTTTAACTTCTAATGTTTTCGTGTCTTTAGGAAGGCACTTGTGCTTGTTTCATTATCCACAAACTCCTCAGTAAATAATTTGAGAAGTGACACCATTCTCAGTAAATTATTAAGTGACCATTCTCAGTAAATTATTAAGTGACACCATTCTCAGTAAATTATTAAGTGACACCATTCTCAGTAAATTATTAAGTGACACCATTCTCAGTAAATTATTAAGTGACACCATTCTCAGTAAATTATTAAGTGACACCATCCTCAGTAAATTATTAAGTGACACCATTCTTAGTAAATTATTAAGTGACACCATTCTCAGTAAATTATTAAGTGACACCATCCTCAGTAAATTATTAAGTGACACCATCCTCAGTAAATTATTAAGTGACACCATCCTCAGTAAATAATTAAGTGACACCATTCTCAGTTAATAGTCTCGTAAGTGACACCAAGACAAAATGTTGGTATGTTCCATGTAAAAAAGATCGAAAATTACGTTTATTAATCGACGTTGTTATTTATAGCTCCTGGCATCATCAGGGGGGATGGTATACCCCCCGGACCCCCCATGCCAAGGCCAGTATTACCACGAGAACGGGGTTACTTGGATCGCTTCATCGAGTACTTAGTGGGTGACGGGCCCACCAACCGTTTTGCCTTAGTGTGCCGTCAGTGCGAGTCTCACAACGGGATGGCACTCAAAGACGAGTTCCAGTACCTCGGTGAGTGACCAATGTTTACGGAAACGCGGACTCGATGATGATTTTAAAGATGTGTATTTAATAAATCTGAATGAATGTGACTTAGGGTAATTTATGTAATGTTTTGTCGGACTTTTTAATGTTCCAATATTATTTAGTCTAGAGTGGAATAATATAATGGGATAATGTGTGATTTAAAAAGCCCTTCCCATGACCAGAGATCCTACAGTACGTCCCATGCCAAGAAGTATCTGTGTGTAGAGGCCCGATGAATCTTAAAATGAACGACTCCTGTTATCTCGATGGGGTTGTCAAAATCCTTCATCTATTGTGTCATTTTAACACAATATGGTAAAGATAATTTTTGGCACGAGTGTACAATATACAGTCCATCGGTACAATATTCAGATACATGAAGTACTGTGTTTTTTCAATGTGTGTTTTCTTTCAGCGTTCAGATGTGCTTATTGTTTCTATTGGAATCCTGCACGGAAGCAGCGTCCCGCGGCCCCTCGTCTGGAGAACCTCTCACTCCCACCGCCGTTACCTGTTACAGAGGACCAAGAGGAAGATGATGAGGAGGAAGACGAGGAGGAAGAGGAGCAAGAGGAACAGGAGTCATCATCGAGTGAAGAGGAGGAGGAGGAGGACGAAGAAGAGGGAGGTGTGGAGGAAGAAGGTAGGTGGGGTGATGTGGGTTGTGACCAGGGCTGGATTAGGAGTTCATAAGGCCCTGGGCGAGTGGTGCCGTTGACCCCCCTCTTAAAATTTGGGACCCTAGAACTCCTGCCCAGTTTGCCCATACATTAACCTGGCTCTAGTGACATTCGGTACATCAGTGAGACAGTTGGCGACGTAATACTGTATGATGATGGTAGTTGGTCCCTTGATATGCCTGATCACCTAGAGTAAAGAGAGTGATGTGTAGTGAGGTGATGGAGGGGCAAGTTAAGTACACAACAGTAATGCTAAAACAAGTGAATGGAAGTTAATGTAAATACAGCTATTCATGTCATGTAAATTCACAGGCAAGAGAAGAGCAATAGGGTGAGTTATAGTCGATATTTCTCACGAGGTCGTTAATGAGTCGATTGTTTTCAGAATCTGGCAGTAGCAGTAGTGCCGAGGAGGAGGACGAAGAAGAAGGTCCAGTCTCTGAGGTGTCGAGCGCTAAGGCCACGTCCAGTCAAGAAGGTTTGTCTTGTGTTACTGTACTGATGTTAGAGGATAATACACTTAGTTAATGCATTTGGAGATATCATCACTACTAATACAAGTTGAGGTAAATTAATTCCCAACTGGTCAGCTTCTTACGTATATTTTCATTCAGATATACAGTCGCATGTATTGTGAGATGTGGCAACGCTGTGTTTGTTTACACTGTATTAAAACTCGCTCAATGGCTCTAAGGAACCTCACAATAGTAGCCAGATGAAGGATGCTAGATAAATATTCCACAGAGTTGCCACATCTCACACAACACACCAGCCTCTATACCAGGTGTGTGTGTATATATGAGTGACAATGTGTGTAAGAAGTCCCTTTAAGTATTTAGCAAAACACTTCGTCATTTAGTAGTTTCCTCGGTGATTGTTGTAGTAGAAATGTACCAAAAGTAAGTAGTTTGGTTATTGACATTAGTAAAGTAATTAGTGTAGTTTGGTTATTGACACTTGTAAAGTAATTAGTGTAGTTTGGTTATTGACACTTGTAAAGTAATTAGTGTAGTTTGGTTATTGACATTAGTAAAGTAATTAGTGTAGTTTGGTTATTGACCCTTGTAAAGTATAAGTAGTTTCACCACAATCACTTATAACTTGGATAACATTACGTGAGGGTAAATTTTAGTTATGTTTGGACCATGTAACTGCTTACCAGGTATTGTATATCACCCTCCTATGGACAGGTTCAATGGAGGACGTAGCCAAGACGCCCTCGACCGACCCTAGTGTCTCGGATGACCACCAGCAACACTGTGTGGCGGAAGATTTACCACTCCCCGTCACCAACCACACACCCTTAGTGAACTCCTCGAAAACTACGCCGTCTTCTACCCTAGAGGTGGAGGAAACTGGTTAAAAATGACGTGGAGAATATCCCGTTTGGCCGAGGTCGAGAAGCCAGTGTTTGTTTTTGTTTGACGTTGAGATGCGAGCTTTTAGTTCGGCCAGGGTTTAGATACGAGTGCTAGTTTTGGGCCAAGATCGAGTTACAAGCGCTTAGTTTGGCCAGAGTTTAGACAGTAAGTGCTAGTTTTGGGCCAAGATCGAGTTACAAGCACTTAGTTTGGCCAGGGTTTAGATACAAGTGCTAGTTTTGGGCCAAGATCGAGTTACATGCACTTAGTTTGGCCAGGGTTTAGATACAAGTGCTAGTTTTGGGCCAAGATCGAGTTGCAAGTGGCTAGTTCGGCCAGAGTTTAGATACAAGTGCTAGTTTTGGCTAGTTCGGCCAGAGTTTAGATACAAGTGCTTAGTTTTGGGCCAAGATCGAGTTACAAGCACTTAGTTTGGCCAGAGTTTAAATACAAGTGATAGTTTTGGGCCAAGATCTGGATACCATTGATGTGTCAGTCAGAAAGTTCTTGATGTCTCTGTTGAAACTGGTCTTTTATTTTTCTTGTGCACATTGTGATTTTGTGTTGCTGTGTTCTGTGTACATCCTATGAATTTGTTGCTGTCACGTGCACATCTTGTAATTGTGTTGCTATCGTACGCACCCCCATCTTTGTGTTGCCGACATGTGCACATACCATATTTGTGTTACTACCGTGTACATCCTGTGATTGTGTTTGCTGTCTCCTGTGCACATCCCATGAGTTTGACATTATCTGCTGTGCACATCCTGAGATTTGTGTTGCTGTTTCCTGTCCACTTCCCATGACAGTTGCTAATTTAAGCACATCCCATGAACTTGTTGCTGCATCTAGCACATGGCGCATATTTGTGTTCCCATAAATCACCGCATAGTTTACCCTGTGTTGGTTCTGCGTTGCTGTATTGGGCATAAAACCCTTATACAATTCACAAGTGTATTATTAGTTTCGTGTCTCTCACTCAAGCTTCTTGATGAGTCAGTTTTGTTTCTCACTTAAGCTTCAGTCAGTTTTGTTTCTCAAGCTTGTTACCGAGTCACTTTTGTTTCTCTCACTCAGCCTCTCTCTGAGTCAGCTTTGTTTCACAGTTTCACAGACTCATGACACAATTGTAACACCTCTAAGTATTCCCTCCCAGTTGTGTCGTGTGTCAGTCGCCCATTTACCCAGTGTTCAGCCATGACCTGGCCCGCGTGTTCATAACTATTGGTGCGTCATGTGTGTCTTGTGTGCCTATCAACACCCAATACCCTCCAACACTTTGACCTATTCTTTCAAGTCATCTCTCGAGTATTTATAACGGCAGATCTTGACGGACTTGCCGGTCGTACACCTAAGATTACGCATATTTTGAGCGTCCGCGAGGGCTCCGAGCTCCTGTATCGGGACTAAATCAATCAGTGTTTTACCTCAGTGATATTTATGTCTTAAATAAGTCTATAAGAAAGGGAAGAATTGTGGACATTGTGTTTGTTTTTTTACTTGTATTTAAAATGAACTGTTACTTAGTGACATATTCTTGGTAGACCGAGTGCTCTTCAGTTTGTTTGCTCACAAGCAGGTGCTATTAGTATTGTCGTTGGGTCCTGAGAGATGCTTGCACTCTGTCTTTTTGTTAAGAGTGGGACCTTAACCAGATATTTAAAGAGTTTTAAGCAGTGCTTTTTCCACGTTTTTCTCAGAACTGTATTATTTGTAGATGAAGCCAGCAGCATTAAGTCTTCCTACTGGTTTCATTTTCTATTTTAGCGCATAGAGCTACAGTACTTGTTCCGAGTCAGAGCGTGAATCATCGACCCGGGTGGTGTGGCTTACTAGCAGGTGACGTTGGTGTAAGATGATGGCCAACCTGCTCACCGCACACTTATTGTACAATACCTTCTGATGTTTTATTAAGGATAATAGCTATAGTAAACCTTTAATTGCTTTATAATAAACTGAATTTTTATTTCCCCAAATCTTTTTTACTGTTTTTAAATGTGTGAAATTTCCAACACAGGTTTACTCTTTATGCAAATTGATTCATTCTTCAGAAGTTTTATGCATCTTGAAATTATGTCTCCAGAAACCTGTCCTTTATACAGCTCCTACCCGACTTACGATGGGGTTAGGGACCCAAATCCAGGTCGTAAGTCGAAAATAGCGAAAATAATACATAGAAAATCTAAAATGGGTGTCCCTTTTTCTTCTCAGCACCACAAAATTCTCACTTTTAAGCTTGCCAGCCATTTTAAAGTGAATTACAAACGAAAATTTTGTCTGTGTACTGACGTTGGGACTCGAAAATACGTAATTTGAAAAATTTTTGGTACGACTGAGGCGGGTCGTAAGTGCGGGTGTTCCTGGTTACACCTACATTGTTAAACCTTGTTCTTACTTAGTCAATTTTCTTGTGACCATTTCCACTATTAACTAAGTATAACGGCATATAACAATGTAGGCGTAACTAGTAACTATTATATATACTATATTACTAGCACAGGAACTATTGGATCACCCTGTTCAGTCCTAATAAACAGGTAAGGTCATTTAGCTTATACTATAAATTAAACAACACTACAAGTATACTGTATCTTTAAAACTTGTATTTACAACAGATGAACCACACTAACATTATTATATGTAATAAAAATCACCAATCACATTATATATATAGCAAACAATGACACTATAATTCAAACAACAAAATACCAAGACACAACTCACAGAAAATAGTCATGTCAGCGCTACGTCCCATCCATGAACCCTGAGACGCGTGAACCCGTGAATCCAAGACATTACACTGTTGGGTCCTTGATGTACTGTGTGGTGTCTCAGATTCAAGGGTTCATGAATCTCAGGGGTTCATTGATGGGATGGTTGGCTGACAGGACTTTTTTTTTCCATAGCTACATAACAATAACAATATATCGTGTGTGACGTTCATTATACCATACTCTTTAAATCACACCACGTGCGTACATTATAAACATGAACAATAAATATAAAAGTTGCCTAATTTGAATATAATAGTCAATATAACATTATAGATCTATAACAAAATCTCTCCGTAGAAATATAGGTATAGGACAAGAGGTAAGGATTAAGTATATGTTCTTTATATAATCCAATACAGTAGTTATAGATGAGGATTATATCTTGTTTTTATTTTGCTTCTGTACCATGTTATAGACCTGTGATAGAATCTTAATGAAAATAATATAGAAGCGAGGTAGGGTATATAATATTGTGAATTGAGACTGTGTTCTGTAACTCACTGTAAGTCCTGACCATTCTCCCAGATCCCTGTACCATCCTCTATCACTAACACACTAACTCAGTAACATCTATAGCAACCATCTGATGGATATGATGCCTTAGGTAGGATTATCTCCAGGGAATGAGTTAGTTTATTTATCTTCTTCGAAAGGGTAGTGAGTCATCCCCAGTTCAGACGTGGTAGTTCTTTATCGCTTTCGTGGAAAAATATCTCGTTTGGTAAATTGTCTGATATCCCATCCTTCCTGCACAAGCTGATCTGTATTTTCATTCTTGTATGACGCAAGATGGTGGCCAGAATGAAGAACAACATCTCTTTTTAATTCACAGTTATTCATTCTCTCGCTGCCATCACATGTGTTCTGCTGCAATAACACGACCCAACGATAACAGCCACGTGATTTAACCCATTGCTCTACACACACTAGCATCATTTACTTCTCAAGATTAACCACTGTTCTAAGTAATGCAGTCAGAACTTAAGTTTTGCATAGATTGGACAACACCGAGAGAACTGAACTTTGTACGTTAAGTCTTCGTCACAAGATGAAAACCCACATTTCAACAATATTAAAAGGCCTTCGATTAATGCTATGATTATGCTCTTGAGAAAACCTGATCGACGTAAATTAAACTTGAAAAGTGAGAGAGATTCCACAGGCGTCATACAGTATTTCAAGTTTATATTCTCAAGTATGTAAAGAATAAAAACAGCATAGTCATAAATCACCCAACTGCTGGTGTCTCCCTGGATCTTAAGTGTGGAGTTGATATAGAAGTTTTATATATTTTTAACCCTTTGAGGATGATGGTTTCATATTTGAGCCTTTGACAATGACGGTTTAATACTTTGAAGATGCTGGTTTAACCCATTGAGGATGATAATTTATCCTTTTGAAGATGATAATTTAACCTTTTGAAGACACTGGTTTAACCCTTTGAGGATGATAATTTAACCCTTTGAAGATGATAGTCTAAAATATTGTCCCTCAAGTTATAACTTAAATCAGTAACATGGCCAACTTTGAGCTCTTGACAGGATCCATCAACACCTACTGTAAACACTAAATAACCTTCTCATTATTTCTCACATCACATAAATAACTCTCATGGTCCTGTACATTACTACCACATGTACAGTAGCTAAAACAACTATCTGTGCATACTTTGTGGGGAAACAATATGAGACCATGGACGATATATTTTGGTATATGAGGGCTGTCACCAGTCACACGGAGGGCTGTCATCAGTCACACGGAGGGCTGTCACTAGTCACACGGAGGGCTGTCACCAGTCACACGGAGGGCTGTCACCAGTCACACGGAGGGCTGTTACCAGTCACACGGAAGGCTGTCACCACCAGTCACACGGAGGGCTGTCACCAGTCACACGTAAAATTTCGGAGCATATCGACCCCCACCTGCACAGATAGTTATAGCTACTGTACACATAACGTGATGTGGAGAGTAACATACAGTACATACATAACTATACAGACATGAACAACATACTCATCACCTTCACTGTTCATCGTGTGACTAGTTTATATTTAAAGAGAAACCTATTTGAACATATTGAACGCTTAAAATCAAACTTAAGTCGCCTAGGTTCCTCTATGAAGGAAGCCTGAAATAAATGTCAAACTTTTAAGTGAAAAACTAACTTAGAAGGAATTAAGATGCTAGGAGGCCTGATACTCACAGTGAACCACTTACTGTATTGTATCAAAGTTAACTTTACTCTCTACATGACAATTGTAACCTGTTTGCTAATCTAAAGTCTTAAATTTGTGGGTTCAGATGTCCATGGCAGATGTTTTGTTAGTTTACACAATTTATATCAAGAATAAAAGTCATAAACATTCAGACTTTCTACCCATTGTATGTTAAAATGTCAAGTTGGTGTAATTTATGAGATTGTCAACTTGGGAATTATTATACTAGTACTTCCGAGGCGCTCCCATTGATAGTGACAGACGGATGACGAATAAACCCTGTAGTCTATTGGGTAGAGAGTGAGTCGGGCTTCCTGTTGAAACAAGAATCTGATTTGGGCGCCATTGATTTGTCACTATATGGGAATGCCTTTTAATCTGTACTTGTATTTTATATTTTGTGAAACTATATGTGACTAATTATAAGTCAGAGGAATGTAATGTAGTTTGAACCTGTAGCTCTCAAACACCACTAAATTCTTCACTTCTTACTGTGGTTGTTCTGTTAGGTACAGTACACTCACTCCGATAGCTATCTTTATGGGAGAGGTGGAGGGGGTCGAGATGAATTGCAAAATGAACACTATGACTCCTGTTGTCTCTAGGGTTGTCAAAATCCTTCATCCATTGTGTCATATTGTATAGCACTATATTGTAAAGATACATTTTTGGACAGAATGTACTGTACCATAAAGCTTCATATTGTTATTTTCAACCTTAGAAGCTGTTTACCACAATGGACTGAGGCCTGAATAGAGCAGACACACACACATGTCCTTCATTTGCTCTACATTAATATCAGGCCCAGAAAATTATTATGAGGCCTGGAGTGTTGTGGGGGAAGGGACGTTTATGAGACATGACTGGGCTTTCAAAATACATCAATAGTCAGCATATTAACTAACTATTGCGATATCTGAACCAATTGTGTCGACTCCTCTGCCAGTTTTAACTAAGGGATACTGTCATGATTCAAGCTGTGTCTAGGTTGGTTTCTCTGTAGGGGTATGATGTTTACCCAAACTCGTCAAGACAACCTGACCACAATACACAACAGTGGGGAGGGGTTTTATGTAACACCCCCCCCTCCTCCACTTTGGGTATAATTTTTTCTCTTAACCTTTAAATCATACTTTTGGGGTTTGGTTGACAATGAACATCCTTGTGTAGTAGTGAAGATTATTATTTTTCTTTAACCATGTGAGTCTTTTCCCACTAAGGTGCAGATGGCTCGGTCCAAGAGTAAAAATTATGTCTTTTCACTAGCCGGCAGCCTTCACTCTACCTGCCGTGACGTCTCTATAAATATCAAGGACAGAAAAATAGTTTAGTGACCCCCATTACTTCAATTTTCTGAGAGTTCCTCCTCTGTTCCTGCTGATCAGTTTTCTAATGGGGGGTGACTATAAAAGATGAGAATTGGTTAACTGTTTGTTATACGTATCTCTACAAAGAGGGAAGAGAGAGCCTCCCGGGTGCAAAGTTTCCACAGTGAATTAAGTATATACAGAGCTTGAGTGATTTCTAGTACACAATAATTACCTTTAATATTCAAATAACATAAAAAATATACTACAGACTGGAAGGATTATACATTAAAACAAATCCAAAGCTTATCATTCGGCGATCAAACTCCTGCGACAAATGGATGTTTAGGAGCAAATGAGTTAAATCCTCAATATCTGCCACTTTTTTTCCCAGGCTATGACATGAGTACAGTAATGTATTTGAAGGAAGTCTTATCTAGGTATCACCGACAGTCTCTAAATGCACTAAACTCAGTCTAGGTCCATCTTGAGTAACGCCTCCGCTTGTCTGTTGTACACCCGGGACTCTCGCATCTTGGTCAGCGCCTGTTTGAAGTCCGCTGTCGTGATAGATCGTAGGGGCTCCGTCGACTCAACGTCCCAGGTTCCTAACTGTCCTAGTGTGTCATCCCCCAAGCCATTCCTATAAGACACAAATATAAGTAATGTAATACCTTATACCTGTAAGAGTAGTATAAGGTAGTGTTAAGGTGTTTAATAATCAGGTGAAATAAACTGTGGTGGGCGAGATGATACAGTAACTCTACATAGATACTGTTATTTCTGTCACTGGTATACCACAATGGCTTAACTACACCATCTACAACATCACATTTCATCATTGTTATCAGTTTTAAGGACATATTCCACACTTGTCCGGGTTACCTCAATAAACATTAGACCGGATCTACTATGTCAAAAAAAACCACATACAACTCACGTCTCATCCAAGAGGTGACGAAGACGATACACAGATGCCGTCCGACACAGTTCTAACAGGTCTGAGCCGGAGAAGCTCTCGGTCTGTCGCGCGAGGGAGGCGATGTTTGTGTCGTCCGCCACCGACTCGTCGCGTAGGACCAAGTGTAAGATATCCTCTCTTTGTTCCATTCCCTGGACGACACAAAACACGGGATTTATTAGTTTTATTATTATTTTCCTTCCAGCTCTTGATAAAATATCTGTCCCTATATTGATAAAAGTTGCATTTTATTTACCTTAATGTAAATAATCAACACAAGACACTAATTGTGATTTACAGAGGAAGTAAATAATGCAAATTAATGGACGAAAATTATCATCACACTGTAACGTAAATGTCCGACAACTGACCGGCAACGGGATCTGAAAAGCCGCCGGCATGCGTCGCAGGATGGCACGGTCCACATCTTGGGGTCTGTTGGTGGCTCCCATCACCACCACGCAGCGGCTGTGGTCGGTGGCCAGTCCATCCCATTGCTGCAAGAACTGTGCCTTCATCATGGCCGTTGCCTCGTGGTCCCCGGTGGCACGAACACGTAGGAACGAATCTGAACGGATAAAAAAATACAAGAATTTGACCCTTGGTGGCAGACTATATCCTGGGTAAATAATGTAAGTTTTTGTACTAATAAATACCAAATATGTTTAGTATCATTTCATCTTTCTGAATTTTGTGTAAGATTTTTACCGATTTCGTCAATGAAGATGATGCAGGGTTGTATCTTGGAGGCCAGGGAGAAGACCGCGGAGGAAAGCTTCTGGGATTCTCCGTACCACTTGTCTGTCAGGGCGGCCACGTCGAGGTTGATGAAACGAGATCCTGCCTCCTTGGCGACGGCCCGAGCCAAGAGGGTCTTACCACACCCTGGAGGTCCATGCAGCAACACCCCTGGAAGTAGACAACAACTCTACCTTAGGGATCACATTATGACTGAAACCTCGGAACAGTAAGTACTAGTACAGTTAAAAGTGTATCTGAAAATAATCTCTAAATAAAATGAAACCAAAACACACACCATAAACTTTGGTGATGACAAAAAGAAATTACAGGTATATAAAGTTTTGATAATTACTCGATTTATGATAAAAAATGTCACAAACGACTGAAATTTGTAAAAACCTTTGGGAGGCTGGATAAGCTTGGATGCCTGGAGACGGTTTCGCTGCTGTATAGGCAAGATGAGAGTCTCCCGCAGCTCACGGATGACGGTGGTGAGGCCGGCCACATCCTTCCATGAGGTGGTGAGCTGTGATGGTTCCACTAACTGGCTGGCAATCATCATCTCGTACTCGCTGAGCTGTGGGGAGACATCCATCATAAGTGGCATCAAATACTGTAGACAGGAACAGTACACTCACTCCAACAAAGAATGAACCCCACCACTCCCTTGTCTCAGTAGAGTTGTCAAAATCCATCATCCATTGCGTAGTATTGTCAACATAAAACCATTATTATATTTCTTGGACACATTTACATTACTGTGGTCAATCATGAAGGCCTAAACACAATATATTATAGCAATTAACATGATAATATTTGGATGACTTAAATATTATCAACCAAGCTTATTTAACCTGATGATTAAAGAGGCTAATTCTAATTGAAGGGGGATTAAGTTGGGATAAGTAAAGTTAGATTACATTAAGTTAGGTTGTAAGTGAAGTTAGATTAGATTAAGTTAGATTGGGTTAAGTGAGGTTAGATTATGACAGATATGGTTAAGTTAGCATTAGGATGTTCCATTGTTGAGTGAAATAAACTGGGGTGCCTGACCTTCACATAGTCACACACACTATCAGCTGATGCGTTAAAACTCACTGTGACTTTCTCCTTGATGCCCAGCCGTTGCATCACTTCCTGGGCCTGAAAGTAATAAAAAAATAACAATTACTCTTATTAGATGAAACATAAAAGAGTTAGCAATATATGATGATCTAATCTAATTATTAAAAAAATCTTATACTTTGGAATTACTGAGTTTTTTATTTTATTTTTTTATGGGGATTAAAATTCCTCTTATATTAGATAAATATAAATAACTGTTAATTCATTTATAGTGAGAGAATAGATATATCAGTCATACATTATTTCTTATTGTAAAAACATTCATATACCTGTACAGTGAAACCTCCCTATAATGAACTTCTCTGTACATATAGTTCATTAGATGGAGGTTTAACATCTAACGGACCCTCGATATAATGGACTTTCCTCCTCATATTGTACGTTAAATAGGGGTTTCACTGTACTGTAATTGTGTCCATCTAAAAAAAAACCCATAAAACTTGAAAATCGTAAAAAATCTGACCTTCCTCTTAGCGTCCTTCTTCTGCTTGGCGGTCGGGTCCATGGCAGACACAAGCAGCTTCACGGTGAAGTACGAGGCAGCCGTAGCAAAGGCCAGACGCACCAATAGGGACAGCACCTCCCCACGTGTCAGCTCCCCTCCTTCCATGCCAGCAGGGCGCAGCGACAACAACCTCAACACCATCAACACCGCACACCTCGACCGTCCTCTACCGTGACATCCAAGACCTTTTAACTTACATATTCAGAAGCTTATTTGACTAATTCCTAAATGTTAAGGTAAGGAGCAAATTTTCTTTAACCTGAAGCTTAATCCCCAGCTTATTTCACCTTAAGCCTCTAGTTTGTTTCACCTGAGTATTAGCCCCAGTTTATTTCACCTTAAGATTAGCCCCCAGTTGTTTCCCCACCTTATTTCACCTTATGATTACACCCCCAGCTTATTTCATCTAAAGCTTAACCACCTTCATGCTATTTGATGGATTAAGTTAAGCTTACGTTAGGGTGGTTAATCTTTAGGTGAAATAAGCTGGGGTGGATATTATTCAGATTATCTCTATCGTAACTCAAGTCAATAAATAAATATGTTTACCCAATCCTTCAAGTAATATAATTTAAACCTTGAAAACAAAATCCTGCAAAAAATATTAGTTAAATTTACATAGATATTGACCACTCATGACCACTCATTAACCCACCCAAGAGAGAGCGAGGCGTCGTCTGCAGGAACACCGTCTCCTCTCACCTCTTTATTTGACGCTCTAACTAACTAATATGGCTGATTTTATACCTTTTTAAGACTCTCTGATAAGTTATATTCTTTCTCGTTTCCAAATTATTTCTCTTTAGTATAAATATGTAAAATGCGAAGGTGTTTTATGGGATAATTTTGCCTCACGGTGAAGTATGACGACACTTGGCAGGATGTAAACAATGGCGTAGTCGTTCACATAGTCGCTCAGATCCGATGCTTAAAAGAACGTCCTTTTAGGTTATAATTATCAAAATATACTTCTCTCTAAATATTTAAAACATTAATAATTATTTTAAAATATACGCAATTTATATAATATTATTTAAATTGATGTATATATTGACGAGCAACTCCATATATTTTACTCATATTTGAAACTTAACACTATATTATAATTTCCATTTACTTAGCAATAGTTATTTATTTTCGTCCACTGGAGCTCACTAATAATTTTTAGAACAATTAAATTTTCTAAACGTTATTTAATAATATTGAACAACTACCTCAGTGAAAGATATACCTTAATATTTAGGTGAAGCTTAAAAGTAAAAGCACCATCTTGAATGCAGATAAATATTGAGTACTATAGGGGATACGGCCACCGCCTTTTACATAATCATATTTTTTTCTTTTATTACTGTAATTGTTTGCGTTGTGTTATTCTTACTGTTGCTGTTATATTTTATGAATAATATTATAGTAATTATTATTATTTGTTTAATTATATTATTTTTCGTTGTTATAATTATTATGTAATTATAGTTATCAGCTTATTATAATGTTTACTGTAATTATCATGTAGTTATTATCACCTTCAAGATTGCTGTTGTTAAACTTATTATTATTACACTATTACTATTATCATTATGGTAATACTGTACAATACGATTATTTATATTGAAAACTAATACAAACTATGATACCTTATCAGTCAACATATCATCACTAATGAAAATGTAGTTAAGATTAAACAAATGTGATAATTAGTTATATATCAGAGTATCTTATTTTTAGATGTGAAAAAAATACAATATATTTCCTGGTTCTCGTGAGGGCGATGAATCCTCTCCCGACTGTCACAAACAAACATCAATATAAATTAGTGTTTGTGTAAGTGTTTGGGTGTATCTGTGTATGTGTATATATAATGTGTACTTGTGTATGATATTTGTGTATAAGTATGGATGTGTGTAAGTATAGGAAGTTGTTTAAATCTCTTTTATTCGCCTTACAGAAGAAACTGACCGTCTTTGCTCCTCGACCCAACAAATACGTCTGCCTGTCTGTCTGAGATCACCAGCGACTCAAGACAGATCACCTTCATTATATTGTGGCCCTTAGCAGTACTGTGAGTGTTTAATTGCTTTATTAAGTAGTGGTATTTCATTTCCGCACACAACATTTCTACCACTAATCTATTATCATATTCGAATAAGACGTCTAATTATAAGATAATTTTCTTCTATTACATTACCGTCACAAATGTATAATAACGGAGGTACTGTATCCAAAATGTTCTCTATTTTCTCCCGTCATTATCGCCTACCTCATCCCCCACACTGTGTCTCCTTCATAAATCATCACTCACATGCGTTCCCGTACACATCATGCGGCCAATCAAAAGCTGTGGGGCACCAATTAAAATGATTTGTGATTTAATTCGCGGTATTTTTTGGCTCAATCAAATTCTGTTTTTATTTTGTGTCTCATATTTCGAAATGCAAATTCATTTCCGACCATGGAAGACTGTGATGGGCGTCACTTCAGTTATATGGAGCTGATTGAGAGTTTGGGGAAAAAACGAAGAAACTATAGCATTTTTTAGATCTCATGGTGTTCTCCCGACCTCAGTAAAGTGTACTAGTGTAAGACTGAAGGTAAATATTGTCAAGACCAACATATGTGGCATTGTGGTAACTCGTCCCTTATACCAAAGACAAAGAAGAGACGGCCAATAAGGTGAGAAATAAGTGATTCCATCATATGGTGAGAGTCAGTTAGGTTAGGTCAGGTCACGTTTATGTTTTTCTAGTGGTTTTTTTTGTCGTATTCGCTTAGCCAATTTTCGACGGAAATGAAGGTCGTGACCGATCTAAACACACATAAATACACAAGAAAACTGTTTTTTTTACTCTAACAGAGTTGTGTGCACTTATGCAAATCCACTCACAGATAATCGTAGGCCAAATATTTCTTATGTGTCTAACTGATTGACTCAGTTTAAGAAAATTAACTTCAAATTTACATTGAAACTCTACCTTAACTAGACACTTTCACTTACCTTACCTGCCTTATTTAGACTGACAGACTGTTCCATAGGTCTACCAGCCTCTGTGTGTTCCATAGGTCTACCAGCCTCTGTGTGTTCCATAGGTCTACCAGCCTCTGTGTGTTCCATAGGTCTACCAGCCTCTGTGTGTTCCATAGGTCTACCAGCCTCTGTGTAGAGAAGTATTTCCTTATATTTGTTCTACGTGTTAACTTGGCCAGCTTGTAGTTATGGCCCCTCGTGTTGGTGGTGCAGGACATCTCAATGACATGTCCCGGGTTCATGTTTTCATCACTTTCAGGATTATGAATGTTTGAGTTAGATCTGCCCCATTGTGTCTTGTCTGAAGGGTTGTTAGTCCTAAGGCCTTCAGTCTACTTGGATGATCAGTGATATAGTTCAGGAATCATCTTAGTCACTCCGTGTTGTTAGATCTGTCTGGAACAATAATTAGGAGACAAAATTAACACTGGGACTTGAAATAACCCTTATGACGTATGTTAGGTTAGGTTAAGTTAGGTTAGATGAGGTTAAATTAGGTTAGATTAGCTTAAGTTAGGTTAGATTATCTTAAGTTAGGTTAGATTAGCTTAAGTTAGATTAGATTAGGTTCTCTAGTATTAATAACATCAGCCTTGGATCCATTTTGGTTTTCACAGCCTAAATATAAGTCACGAATCGGCTCCCTAGGTCTGAAGGGGGCGTGAGACTAGCCAATAGCGTGCGGGGCTTTTGTTCCCGTCTATTGATTGGTGGAGATCACGCCTCCCTCACTGTCAAGCTCCGCCCACCTCCCCTCACCAAAACAAACCCGTCTGTTTCTTTATCTGTTATCGTTATTCTTTCATTTATTTCGTATGGGGTGAAATAATGGGAATAAAAATCATTACTAAATGAGGGAAATGTAAGACTGATGAAAGTTAAGTGAAGAAAGTGTTGAGGAAATCAGTAGAAATATCCACACATACTTATTAATGTTGTAAATATACATATAATTAACTTATTTTATCATTAATAGTAAAAGTGCGTAATAAGAAGAGATTAATTTAAATATTTAAGACAAGGGTTAGCGGAATACGTGAAATAAGACAAAAATACGCCATCTTCTCGCTAAAATACGATTCTCAAAGGTTCCTTAGTTCAATTTTCCTCCTAACTGGTGATGTGAGAACGTATCTAACTGACTCACTTAAGCTACCACACAAAGATGGATTCTCAAGGGTTCCTAAGTTCAATTTTCCTCCTAACTGGTGATGTGAGAACGTATCTAACTGACTCACTTAAGCTACCACACAAAGATGGATTCTCAAAGGTTCCTAAGTTCAATTTTCCTCCTAACTGGTGATGTGAGAACGTATCTAACTGACTCACTTAAGCTACCACACAAAGATGGATTCTCAAAGGTTCCTAAGTTCAATTTTCCTCCTAACTGGTGATGTGAGAACGTATCTAACTGACTCACTTAAGCTACCACACAAAGATGGATTCTCAAAGGTTCCTAAGTTCAATTTTCCTCCTAACTGGTGATGTGAGAACGTATCTAACTGACTCACTTAAGCTACCACACAAAGATGGATTCTCAAAGGTTCCTAAGTTCAATTTTCCTCCTAACTGGTGATGTGAGAACGTATCTAACTGACTCACTTAAGCTACCACACAAAGATGGATTCTCAAAGGTTCCTAAGTTCAATTTTCCTCCTAACTGGTGATGTGAGAACGTATCTAACTGACTCACTTAAGCTACCACACAAAGATGGATTCTCAAAGGTTCCTAAGTTCAATTTTCCTCCTAACTGGTGATGTGAGAACGTATCTAACTGACTCACTTAAGCTACCACACAAAGATGGATTCTCAAAGGTTCCTAAGTTCAATTTTCCTCCTAACTGGTGATGTGAGAACGTATCTAACTGACTCACTTAAGCTACCACACAAAGATGGATTCTCAAAGGTTCCTAAGTTCAATTTTCCTCCTAACTGGTGATGTGAGAACGTATCTAACTGACTCGCTTAAGCTACCACACAAAGATGGGTTCTCAAAGGTTCCAAGGTTAGATTTTCATCAACCACACCGGCCAACATGGACTCGAAATAACATTAAATCTCACCACAAGTGTTCACCAGAAGCACTATACTAAACATCACCATCATACAGTGTAAAGTATCTACGGTTTACCTACGACAATACCTAAGTCACCCGACGATAATGTAAACAAACACCTTCGAAGCAACACTCACATTTAACATTTCTTCATAAGGTTTAAAATTCAGTGGTATTTCATATGATTCTCCCTCTAATAATTCTTAAAGTATAGCATTTTATTCAACCTAAATAACCATTCTTTACGTCACGGCATACTGAGATTTTTCAATTTATTTCATTTATTTGTGAATCCTGGAATGTAATTTTCTCCAGATGTGAACGTAAGTGAGCGAACGTTTCTGGAGTGAGTGTAGCGGATGGCTTTCACCACGGCTGATTTCCTTAATGGCTATGACTGATATGAATGAAGACGTTAACAGTTTTGTGGCTGATATGGCAATGGGGTATGGCTAGGTGTGGTTACCTTATGTGGCACGCTGAGGGAGGTGGTATGGTTGATATGACAATGTGGTGTGGCTGGGTGATGGACTCTCTCTCTCTCTCTCTCTCTCTCTCTCTCTCTCTCTCTCTCTCTCTCTAAACTGTTATTAATGAAGGACACTCCACCAGCCTATCAAAATTCAACTTGTTTTATCCTTCATTTGTGATTGGTTCTTGAAGTCAATTTATTTGTTGTTTTTTCATTTTTTTATTTGTTATTCCTTTGACAGATTTATTTTTGTTGTTAATGGAAATAACGTTTACTTAACACTGAGACTCTACCTTAACTAGATACGTTCACTTAACACTGAGACTCTACC